AAATATACAGTGAATCCACTGCCGTCGTAGTCCTTCATAAAGAAAGTGACGAGATCTCAATAAATAGGGTGTTTAAGGCAGACTGAGATGATCTCTTCAATTCTATTCACCGCGTGCTTACAGGAGGTTTTCGGGGATTTAAATTGGGAAGAGTTAGGTCTAAGAGCTAATGAATCGCATCTTAGTAACCTGCGGTTCACTGGTGACATATTGCAGTGGTGAGTAACTCGGGCGGCTCATGATTACTGAAATGGACACGGAGAGCAAAAGAGTAGGTCTGTAAATTAATATGCAGGAAAGTGAAGTAATGTGCAGAGTCTCGACAGAGAACAGCACTTTGATAGAGGTGGCGAGACACTGGAAGTTGTAAGTGAATATGTCTACTTAGGACAGGTAATAACCGTGGAACTAAACCATGCCAGTGAAATAACCAGAAATAATAACGACGGGGTGGAGCACAATCGGCAAGCATTCTCAAATCGTGAATGACAGTCTTGTATTATCCCTCGAGAGGAAGGTATGCAAGAGCTGCCTCTTATCGGTACTTACCTACGGAGCAGGAACTTGGCAGCTAACAAAGAGGGATCAACTTGACACAGCGGCTGATGGAAAGGCAAATGATATGTGTAACCTTAAGAGACAAAAGAGAGCAGAGTGTGTCAGGAAACAAACTGGGGTCAAGGATATCATGGTTGAAACCAAGAAAAAAATGGACATAGGCCGGACACGTAGTGCGTAGGTAGGTCATTGAGGGTAATTGAGGGTAACGCTGGTCATTGAGGGTAACTGACAAGATTCTCAGAGAAGGCAAGCGCATGAGAGGAAGGCAGAAAATTAGGTGGACAGATGAGACTAGAACTTTGCAAGTATAACGTGGCAGCAGAAAGCGCAGGACCAGGTAGATTGGCGGAACACGGGAGAGGCCTTTGCGCTGCACTGGGCGTAGTCAGGCTGATGATTATGAACCTATAGGGCTGCATGGGGCTACCGCACTGTGTATTTTGCAAAACGTGTTTGACCATTTCGAGTACTTAGTAGGGAACTATGGGATAGCAATGTTTGGAAAAAGTGGTAAAGACTTGGGGTACTTCGTACTCTACTATGGGAGAGCATAAAGCCGTACCAGTGGCCTCACACTTGATGAGGCCGTGTCGACAAAGACATTGTAACATTCGTCAAAAACGCCGAATGTTAGAAATTGTGTGTACATAAAAAGCTGGTTGATGATTTATAGCACTGGGTACTTAACTATGGGAGAGCATGAAGCCGTCCCGTGGGCATCACACTTAATGAGACCCTCTTGATAAAAATTACGCCGTCAACACGTTCACCACGAATAAGTGTTCTCTGACGACGAGTGTGTTTAGAAAATTGTTTAACAATTTCGTGTACATCGTACTCAACCGACACAATTATGGGAAAACAGTGAGCCCCGTCACAGTCAAATTTCATCTTCAGAGTTGCTGCGCAGAATCTACGTGCATTAGAGTTGTGTGTCTTATTAATCTACAACTTCGAGAGAGAATCACATTACCTACGAAACTTTCTTTAGGATATTGACTAGCGTTATGGGTGAAACATGTCTGACTATTGCAGTTTTTATTCATCTGTTGAGCCACGCATTTTATTTAACCTACGTTGTTTGAAAACAAACTGGGAGATTGCAAATCGAAGTAAGGATTGATCGCACTTGCATTATTTCTTGCGCACCCTGTGTCAGAAACAAAGCACATAACGCCGTGATTCCCCCCCCCCCCCCACCCGTTTTCTTTTTTCACAGTTGAAGGCACTGCCACCCCCGTGCTATTTCACAACGACCTTAGAAGAGGGCAGACGGTTACCCGCGGACAACTGCCTACTAATTCATATGTCAATTTGAGTATATGCTTCGCTAAATCTATCTGGCAACATAAATGCCTGCTGAGTGGAGACCACGAAGCTCTTTTCATGTTATGGCCCATCTTATCAAACAATAAATGTCAGCATATCCACGGGGTGAATGATGGAGAGTGGATCAAAGCTGGGTCCGCACGGCGCTGCCGCGCCACTTCGGCCCCCGTTCTCGCACGCTGGGACCTTGTCGGCGCCGCCGCGCAGCTTCACGGCACGCTTCTGCCTCGCGCGCTCACACATCAGGGTTCTTTCTTCGAACGCGAGCCGCCGCCGCCTTGCGCACACGCTGCTTTGCAGCCTTGTTTATCCGCCGACCCTCTGAACACACGCGCGTGCCAAAACGGCTCTTACTTTATTACAGGCGCCCCCTAGCGTATGGCGCCGACAACGAACACGCAATCATCGACGTCTTCATGTGACGTCATTCCTATTTTCTCGCGCGCTCAGAGACCGGGGATCCGTCTTTGAGTGCGATCCGCCGCCGCCTTGCGCGTATCATACTTGTTATCGGCAAACTGTGAATAATTTGCTGGCCGTGTTCATACGTCGTCTGTCTGCTGTTTGATGCACGGATGGACGCATGGATGAATGCAGGGACGGACGCACGAGAGGAGGGACGGATGCACGAACAGATAGACGTACGGATGCATGGACGGATGCACAAATGGACGGACGGACGCATAGACAAACGCAGGGACGGACGCACAGATGAACGCACGGATGGATGCACGAGAGGATGGACGGACGGATGGACGCATAGACGCACAGACGCACGAGAGGACGGACGCATGGACGAATGCGCGAAAGGACGGACGCACGGATGAACGGAAGCAAGAACGAACGGACAACCGGAAGCACGGACGGAATGGCGGACGGTTCGCCCCATTCATCATCATTCACTCCATCGATATGCTGTGATTTTCATTATTTATGTTACTACAAGTAACGTCCTCTAGTATCGTATCATTGCATTTTTCAGCGTATATGCATTTCGTTATATGTAAAAGCACCGCCCTCTACGGCTGATTAAAAAACTAACGAGAGGTGGCTACAAACGATTACGACGGGATGCTTAGCCCTAAAGAATTGGCAGATCCCACCAACAGTGGGAATCGATGATATGCGAAGCACAAATGAGCAAGGTTTCATATGTCACATTAAAATCATCAGAGCGTTACGAGGCGAGCGTAAATTATGCCTTCCATGACTTCCATGACTTCCATGTCATGATTATCTTGTTTGCGCCTGGCATTTGTGTTACTCGTCTATTCACGGCCACGCAATACCAAATTTGGTATATGTGAAGCAAGCGAAACGCCGCGAGCACACTATGAGCGCAGCATGTAGTCATGTTTACATGACACGCACTGTCATCATTATCTTGTTTGGACATGTCATTTACCTCCATCGTATATTTACGTGGCGTAATACCACATTTGGTATATGTGAAGCTAGCGAAATGGCCGCGAGTGCATCATGAGCGTGGTATGCAGTCATGTTCTTACTTGTCACGAATCTTATGATTATCATGTTTGCACCAGTCACATACCTTCATCATCCATTCAAGTCACGTAATACGAAATTTGGTATATGCGAAGCTAGCGAAACTACAGCGAACGCATGATGAGCGTGGCATGTAGTCATGTTTTTTACATGACACGCATGTCATGATCATCATGTTTGCACTAGTCATATACGTTCGTGATCCATTTACGTCACGTAATACCAAATTTGGTATATGTGAAGCTAGCGAAACGGCCGCGAGCCCATCGAGAGCGTGGCATGTAGTCATGTTCTTACATGACACACAGGTCATGATTATCATGTTCGCGCGTCCCATTAACGTCACGTAATACCAAATTTGGTATATGTGAAGCTAGCAAAACTATCGCGAGAGCATGATGAGCGTGGCATGTAGTCATGTTTTAACATGACACGCATGTCATGATCATCATGTTTGCACCAGTCATATACGTTCGCGATCCATTTACGTCACGTAATACCAAATTTGGTATATGTGAAGCTAGCGAAACGGCCGCGAGCACATCATGAGCGTGGCATGTAGTCATGTTCTTACACGACACAGATGTCATGATTATCATGTTTACACGTCCCATTAACGTCACGTAATACCAAATTTGGTATACGTGAAGCTAGCGAAACGACAGCGAGCGCATCATGAGCGTGGCATGTAGTCATGTTCTTACATGACATGCATGTCATGATTTCCACGTGAGGGCCTGTCACTACAGTCACCATGCAGTGATGTCATACCAGTTTTGCAATATGTCATGTAAACGAAACCACCGCAAGAGCAGCAGGACCATGACATGTAAATCCTGATACTCATGTCATGATTTTTATGTTATGATCGGTCGGTTAGGCTCGTCACACAGCCATGGTACGCCATACCAATTTTGGTATAGATCCCATCATCCAAACGGCTGGGAGAGCTAAATGTTGTAGGCGGCCAGATAGATAGATAGATAGATAGATAGATAGATAGATAGATAGATAGATAGATAGATAGATAGATAGATAGATAGATAGATAGATAGATAGATAGATAGATAGATAGATAGATAGATAGATACTTTCAAACTTGCCCAAGGTCGCTAAGAAATGATTCGCAATTAAAAGCACGGTGTATGTAGTCTGAACGAATTGAAGTAGTTCCACAGCTGTAAATCGGGCAGCTACCCTGTAAGTTTTAGTTGCACTTTGCGTCATCATCACATGCAATCGCGAGCAACAACCCGTTATTTCCTGTTCACTCGTTTGCAGTGAATAGCTAGCGTAATCAGCATTAGTCAATGACAAAGTCTTACCCACCCACCCTGCCGTCAAAGATATCTGCATTAGTCACTGACAAAGTCGCATCCACCCACCCTTTCTTTAAGATAAGTGTTTCACGACGTGTGATGCATTGTCGAAACCTAACCTCCATGTAGTCATCAACCGGACGCTAACAGCCCCGACTCAGGGGGGGTTATCGCCACGAACGGCGCGCGGCCTGACGCAACGAGTTGAACGAGCGCGGGCACTCCTGACGTCACGCACTCGAAGCCGGCTGCTCCCTTATCGTACACGACAAAGGATGACGACATCTGGCGCTTCAGCGACTGCCGCGGCGTATGGAAGTGTAGCGCTTCCGAAAGTCGCACATTGCTTAGCGGTAATCGCGTGCGGCGCGAGCTCCCATTCGGCGTGCTGGCATTGACAATTTGTGTTTTCGTTTCCCGCTGACTCTATTTCCAGTCGCCAGGCGTCGCATGGGCAGGCATGAGTCCCATGGATGCGTTCTGCGGCTCTCGGTTTTGGGTAAGTACATTTTTTCGCATTTTTCGGCTGCCTGAAACGCGATTTGCCTGCTTAGAACGCATCAGATTGCTTCGTGAAAGGCGTTCGGATCAGAACGTTAGGTCACAAAGCGACGTTTATCGCTTCGAACGACGCAACAGTGTTCCGCAGTCGGCACACCGCGATGCGCTCGTAGAAAAACCGGCACTCAATCGCTGGTTCGCCTGAAGGCTGATTCATATGGAGGAAAGACAGAACGAGACCTTTATTTCGCTACCGGAAATGAGGAAAAACAACTCTGACATTGACGTTCACGGGTTAATTTGAATGGGTTAAACAACCGACTGCTGCCCGTTTTATTGGGTGAAAGAGCGCCGCTACCTTGCCGTCTCTCGGCTTGCTATGTTTTACGTAATTAGCGTACACATAGATCGCCCTTGCACGTGTTGAGCGTGCGAGCCGCCCGCCGCCGACCTGAGCTTCTCATGTTGACACACGACCGTGAACATGCTGCGGCTTGTTTTGCGTCGTTACGCGAAGTCTTCGTACGCCCCCCCTTCCTCTGTATGTGTCGGATGGCACAATGAGACACCTGAGAAGACGGCGGGCAGCTACGTCTCGTGTTCGTTTCGTCGGTGCTGTCCGTAGTTTTGCGGCTCGTCTAGGGAGCTACAGCTTCCACCTGTATCTCGTGAATCGGGGGCTTCGCCTTGCACTCGTGATCGAACTACTGGAGTGACGGCGATGCGTCGGCAAAGAGTCGGCCGGATCCCGAATTGTCACCTCGCCCTTGTAGCCACGAAAAAAAAATTCAATAAATTGTGAAGAGGCGTAACCGTATTGCAGCAGGTGTTTTCTTTTTCCCCCACCCCTCCTTTGGCGTATGTGTCACCGTGTATCAATAATAAATTCGCACGTCCCGGCAGATGCGTCATGGTTTAGTGATAAAAGTCTTAGAGTTGTTCATTTCGCTTATCACGCTGCATGCACGGAATCAAAGATTCTGGCGCATTTATTGCTCGGTTCTCCAATCTCAGAGCACAGCGCAAGCATCCTGATGAGTGCTGTAATGCATGCTAGGATGTGGGTTGTGGATATGATTCCGGGTGGTGCACGTGGTAGGATGACAAATATCCCACCGTTTTCGCAGCTGCGATGTACCGTGCAACAAGGAAGCGGTGGTAGGCCTGCTTGTTTGATTTCTTTCGTTTTATTTTTTTGTTCGCTTCATCTGTTCCGTCCTTGCAATGTTTTTATATGTGGTCGTGAGCAGCTGCGACCGCTTTTACGCAGTTTACTGACATCCGAGTCATTTTGATTTACTCGCTATACTAAGGTCCTATAACTCGGGTAGCTTCGCATTTAATGAGAATTTTCGGCGGTGCGTTTTTCTGGCTCATGCGCATGCTTGTCGGAGCTGTTTCATGTTTTTTTCGCCTTGAACCCCATCTATGGCTTGCATTTTTGTTTTGTAATTTGCTTGTGGCCATTTTGGTGGCGTAGTTATTGTTAAAAAGATACCTGGACATATTTCATGTTTGGTGCTTTTTCCCTACCCTCCAATGATACCAGAGGCTAAAAGAATGAAATAAATTTGACGCTTGCGAGACCATGCCGATAGGTTTGCATTGTGTAAATAAATGTTTTAAATTATCATGCAGCACTTCGGGACATTAGCTGTCATAAGAAAGATGCATGCTTTGTAGACGTTCATTTAGTACATGAGTGTTTACTGTAGCTCATTTTAAAGCCTGTTGGCAGTGGTCGCGCATGTTGGATTCGGTTCAAGCTCTTCCCCTAAATTAAACAAAACGTTACTGCTGATGGGTTAAGTCTCAAACAGGAGGTCGTCTCTGACTCATCATGCCGATGAAAGAAGTTGCATTTGTGTGCCAACTGGTCTCTGAGGGGACTGTCATTCCCACGAATCGAACTCCATAGTTCAGTGGTTGCATAGTTCAGTGGTTGATACTTTATGTGGAGCTGATCACCCTGCGCCATCACCTGACGGCTTGTTTCCATTTGCCGAATGAATCGCCTATCATTTCAAGTCAACTTTATTCTCTCTTAATGCAGCAACATTCAATCACAGTGAGCCACTGGTTCTCGATTCTCGTTTCACGTATTTTTTTTTGTACGGTAGGCATACCTCGCTGCAGGTAGCGTTCATCATCAATAAAATCAAAATGTTTAACATAAATAAAAATGTATGTATATACAGACAGGGCTGTACAGTAGATTTAAGAGATTCATGAGGTACTTGAAATTGAAAAGAAAAAAATATTCATTTACTGATTCGCAGCTGCTGTGTTAATGGCAATGACGTATGCAATTCGAAATCTTCCTAGTTGCTGAACAGTGACATTGGAACCTCGTTGCATCAGTACTTTTCGAAAACAATGCGCGGCGGTAAGACAGCCACGTAACAGTTGCGGGGCACACTGCCCAACAGAGAGGAAATTGCCATTCCGGGCTCAATTCAACCATCTTGCCTTGTCAGTTCATTTTCATGACCATAGCAGAACAAAAGCCTCTCACTACGATCTCGGATTAATCCCAGTCCTGCGTCGGCTGTTTGAATTTTATGCCCGTGTACTTCGGCGTTCTTTCGAGCATTATCTAAATTGTCAAAATAGCCGATCGGGCATGTTGGTGATTCATGATTACCTAAAATATAAGCGCGTCTTAGACAAAGATTGTCCGTGTCTTAATCTTTTGTTTACATTACGTGCTTGTATTTAACCTATCTATATCTTCTGTCATCCTTAGTCAAGTGTTTATGTGATTCGTAGGTAGCCCTTGTGAAACTCGGCAGACACCGCTGGCTATCTGCCCTACGCATTTCACAAATTATTCCGGCTATAAACATTTTGTTGACTAGAATGTCAGCTACCCCCATTTTTCTTGAACGCTTTCTTTACCATTGACGAATATAGTTGAGTATGAGGAGTTTAGTCAAAAGATTTTCTAACAAAATGACCAATGACGACTATACTTGTTACTACAAATATCAGTCCCGCATGGAAGCGACGAAGGCTGCACTTGTCATACTTGTGTATCTCCACACTAGATTGTCGTTCTTGTCCACATTGGCACATTGTGCCTTTGCATTCTTTTCGTTAGAAATTTTTCATTTTATTTTTATGCTGTGAAGCCACATTCATAATCTTTTTTTTGCACGATTAATGAAAGAAAGGAACTTCATTGAATTGTAAAAATGGTACAATTTTATTGCAAAATAAAAAAAACTCGAGAAATTGAGCATAAAAGACTTTCAATAATTTTGGTCCATTTTTCTTGAAGGTTCACGTCAATGCTGTCAAGTTCTTGTCTCTACTGACATAGGCTTGTGTGGGATTCAATTTAAGGGCCCCCCTCTCCCTTGCATTCAGGGAGGACAAAGGAAATCATTGCTAAAAATGCAAATTTACAAAAACTATCGCATGCTTTACCCTCTCTTCCCCCACATAAAGTAGGCAAGTAAACAGCAGTTAAAATGCAAATAACAGGCATCCCTGGTTACCATTGTTTTCAAAGACCTACATGGTGGCTATATCCCTGAACTTTAAAGTATTGATGGAACAGGCCATATCCTTGAACTTTAGGAGTAATGATGGAACAGGCCCAATTGTTTTAATATGTTGGGCAGGCTTGGCCCCATCCTTAGATGATTGGGGGAGCGGAGTTTCAATGTCCCAGTCCCCCTTCCTCTGTACATCCCACTCAGCCTATGTCCTTGGTTATACCCATAACTCTTTGTTCCACAACTATACATTATCTTAACCTAGAGCCTCTATTGATGCCAATCCATAGCTCTGTTTTTTTCAGCTCAACAGCAGGCCCAGTTTCGATCTAGGTTCATAGTTTCGTACTTCCATCTCAAGAGCAGGCCTTCTTTTACGCTTGTCACGTAGTTCCTTCTTTCCGTCTGTCAACATCTTGCCTCATTTGTGTCAAGATCTCACCTCAATGCGCTTGCTTATAAGTGAAACTATAAACCCACAAACACAGGCCTTTGATGACATTCGGTTTCGTGCACTGATGTGCCTTAATAGCATCAGTGGACAACAAGAGCTTTAGAAAATATCCCGCTGATTTTCTACAGTTTCCTTCCCTTATTTGGCAAAATAGTTTCAAATTAATGTTCTTTTGAGCTATAAAAGAATTATCAAAGATTCCCTTGTACTTTACACACGTCCCTTTTATGTGAAAAAACGAAAGACTTTCCATACTCTTAAATGGAACTGGGAAACGTGCTTACAGTTTCAACGTTAGGAGCTGGTAAATGAGGTGACTGGCAGTTTTTTTTTTGGGTACAACCCTTGCAACCTTCACACCGTCTCTATAAGCCTTCTGGGGGATAGTGTTGAAGAATACGTGGAAGGAAAAACTCTACAGGTGCTTTTATCCAGAATAATGGGCATGATTGTATTCTATTACTACGAGGCATAAGCTTCTAACTCGATTTTTTTCTTTTTGTTTTTTCAAGTAAGTGGGATTCTGTTTTGTCGTAAGCTGCTGTAACGTAAATAAATGAATCAATTAATGGTTGGAAAAAATAAATGAATGGGTAAAATGAATAAACTAATAACTTAATGAATTTTAAATTAAGGATATCAGCTAAACCTTTCATTTTAACTTTTAATAAAGGTTGTTTAAAAATTATAAAAAAGACATCTGCACCTGTTTGAAATGTATTTAAAAAAACCAAACTAGTTTTCTGTATTCAAGCTAGTTGATACAGTAATGTATAAAGGCAGGTGATCGTAAAAAACAAAACAAAAAAACAGGCAGTCAAAAGACAGGCATACAGAAAAAAAAAAAGGTCTGCAGTTGCTTGTCATGTATGGACCTACTTTTTCTAGATGTAGAACATCTCGTCTGAATTTATGCAGCGAATGATAAGCAGCATGATTTCTCAATCTCAACGTATTTCGATAAGGAGCTCCTGAGGTATTGCTTTTAGATTTTTCTTGACTGATAGCGTCATTGCAGATTTCCCGCCAGTGTGGAGAATCCCGGATGCAAGCCGTGAAGTGTGTTTCCAGAAAGAACACTTTCGCTTGCTTATCTTCTAAATGTCAACACGGTTACAGGGTAGCAGCTCTTCATTCCAAGAGGAAAGAGCTCAGACTGCCGTCCGACTTTCGAGGATAAATCTCTCAAACTCTCAAGTGCATTTAAAGGTCCTTATCTCCCTAAGTGCGTAGGTGACAGGCCGCTGCTCGTTGACTATAGAGAGCCGCAGCTCGCGTGAGGAGCACAATGCAATCTTGACACAGTGAACGGTGTTTGCATGGGGCCTCGCCTTGTCGATTCTCGCAAGCAAATAGTGCTCAGTTTGCGAGTAGATAACCGCAGACATCTTGTACACATGCAAAACAATGTAAAACAGTCAGTACACAAAACTACAAGTGCAGAGTTTTGAATGAATTTCATCTGTATAAATGTGTAATGTTTTGTTCGCAGATGATGTGTGAGACGTACCCAGTCGGAAAGCACGCACGCTTGAAAATAAACACGCCTTATTTCAGTTGCTGCGGGGAAGTTGCAGTTGCACAGACACAATCTGTGGATACATCCTTAAATGGACTTTAATGTGATACAAGGAATGGACTTAATCTGATTCATTATACACTGAGAAGTCTAATGTCATTAATTTAAGCATATGTTCATTCATACTAGAGCAAATGAAGGTCTTGGTTACTCTCTTAAATTTCACGCTGAGATCTCCGCATGTGATGTCATGCAGATTGTGCTCTGACAAAATTTACTTCTTGATTTTGGTATAGCTAGTCTCTGGCCTTCTCGGAGGACATGGTATTTCATTTATATCGATTATGAACAGCATAAGAGAAAGTAGACGCCGTCTAAATTCATGATGTCGTGGCATGTGGTGTGAAAATTTGAAATTGGCGTCTCTACCTGCATTCCCTTTTCACGCATTTTATCGCTTACCAAACGTTGTCTCATGGTAGGAGTGATGTTTTGGATATTGTGAAAGTGTAGTTTACTAATACATATGGACCCCTTTATAAGAGACATAGATGTAAGCGGCATACCAGTGTGCCCTACATTAAAACAGGGGTTCATAAGAGAACGCTTACGTGGTGATCCACTTATAAGAGGCAGCCATGTAAAATTCAATTGCTCCTCGATGCGTGTCTCTTTAAAAGTGTTCAACCTAACCTAACCTAATTGTTTTTCTCTTTCGTGTCCCAATGTTTTTGGAGTGTACCTTTGGAAATGCATTAGAAATGGGTGTGAGCATGTTGCATAAGCTTATGGGCAGCTGTTTCTTACAACGCTGCGTGTCGCGAATGTTCATTGACCCTTCTCGTTCCGTCATGTGCTTGCTGGGTTTGCAGTTCCTCACTTCCACGTGTTTCAATTAGTTTTGCAGAGCCTAGCAGCGTTATTGCAGAGTGCAGTCACGCTAACATGAGCCATGAAGAGATAACGAAGTGATGACTTTCTGGACAATGGTCTATTAAAATTACTTTCTGAGAAAACATGTTGTTAAAGTTCAGGAATTTTCTGGATGTATGTATAACCAAAAAACCTTTAGAATATACTATATTGGTGCTGTGCCTATGCGTGCTGAAACGTTTATCTTGTGCATAACATAATTGGATACTAAATGTGACATCTCTAACGGAAGCATAGGAAGGTGTGATAACGCAGCATTTATCAGGCAAACAATAGCTCACTCAATATATCAGTTGTATTGTCTTTTGTATCATATTACGCATTTGATGTATTACTTTAGATAAGCTAACTTTGAGATGCTCTTGTTTATGAGTAGAGTGGATGGGCTGTTGGGCAGGCCGAAAGATTACAGAGATACTTTTTCAGGGCGCTGACAAGCGGCGGCATGACGTTTAAACTGCCCTTAGCCAATTCGCTTGGTCAGCTTGTTGACGGCTGTGCCAAGCGGTACCAGTATGGCCAATCTTTATTGCATTTACCCTAATAAACTCTGTGCACTCTTTGAGTCTTCATGAAGCATAGTTTTCAAGCAGCTTACTGGCTTGGTGCTGAAATCTTAAGCCTGTGCATTCTGACACTGGCACAGACATTTCTGTAGTAGCAGTGAGTATCTGAATAGTATGTCATCATCATCATTAGTCTTATCTTACCTTTAGATCAGGATGAAGGCCTGTCACAATGATCGCTAAGTTACCTTGCCCTGTTAAAGCTAACTTGATCTCGTATTTTTTGGTGCTGTCTCCTTCTCTTGTTTGTTATTTCTTTAAACTTGCATATGTGTGCATAAATGTGTATGTTTTTCCTGTTTTTCTTTACTAAAATCGTGATAAACTTGTAGCTTGACTCATCTTTTTTTTCCAATGCAGGGTTGCCATTTAATTAGCAATCACCAACCTCGTCTCTCCATATACTTCTCTGTCTTCCATTGAATTTTATATGTAGTTTTGGGGCTGAAGGTGCACTGAGATGTGACGTCACTGGTATTTTAAGTATTTTGCTGTTTATAGGTATTCTATTATTTAAAATTAGGTGTTCTACTTATTTCTCAGCTCTCTATCATAGCTCTGGAATGTAGCCTTTGCATTGCAACTTAGAATTCAAGTATTTTTTTATATTATTACCACAAATATTGCAGCACTGCTGTGTCTATGATAAGGTGTGTTGCCACCTTCTTAGAAATATTCTGCGAGTTTCACTCAAAACTGATTACTTTGTCCCTTGACATAAAGCTGTGTAGTGACCCTAAATATTTGTGCTGTGATCATAATAAATATAATATAGCCTAATAACCAAAGTTTTCATTTCAGGAGGTTGTATGTCTGCCGCAGCCTTATAGGATCAAAACTTATTTTTCAGTTTAAGTTATCGTGGTTCATATTAAAGAACCTGGGCTGGCAAACGAGTATGCAAGAGAAGTCAAGACATCACAAACTATGCATTTGTAGTTGCTTGAAATCCCTCCTTTGTCCATGCTTGCACGCCCAGTCGTGTTAACGTGAATGCCTACCAACTGACTTAGCTCTATATTATTCTTTATTTCATTGTGCCTTGTAACATCTCGTCAAGAAACGTGGAAGGTTTTGTTAAAAAATGATCAATTCGTTGAAAATGTACACAAGCTTTTACACTGTGAAGAACAACTGAAAATTATGTTTTGAAAATAATGTGAATAAAGTTTTTCGAAACACGTCATTTTCAGTTTGGGGGCATTCACAAAAAATTCGATAAGTTCTGAAGAGATTTAGGTGCAGACATAATTTTTTGTTCACAACAGTTCTTAGTTCTGTCTTTTAGGATGTCAATTTCTCTTTTAAAGTAAAAATATAATTTTAAAAAGTGGCAGTGTACCTTAAAATACAGGCTTGTATATTGTGGCTCATCTTCGTGGGAACATTTAAAGGACCTCTTTTAGACTCGGAGTAAGAGGGGCGTGATATATCTGGCCTGAATGGCTTGTTCTGTCTCGTCTTCTCAGGACTACAACCAGACATGGAACACGACAGACCCCGACCTGAGCATCTGCGTCCAGGACACGGTGCTGGTGTGGGTGCCATGCGGGTTCCTCTGGCTCACAGCTCCCGTCGAGACGTTCCTGTTGCTCAAGAGCAGCAATCGGCTTATCCCATGGACCGCGCTCAACCTGGCTAAGCTAGTAAGCACTGGCAAGACCCTGTTTTCTACTGTTCATTTATAATCGATATATGTATTTCACGTACTCTCAAGTGCCAAGGCATTGCAGAGGGCAGTGGGATTCATGGGCAAAAACGCACACAAAAAAGTAGATTGCTCTCAAGATGAATCACAGAAAGATACACAATAAATTACTCGTTGAACATTGTAGTGCCGTCATCTAAGTGATCATGTGCGGGCCGTACACTACAAAATGAGGTTATATTAATACACAATTATTACACAAGAGGTTCAATTCACGGACACCTCAATGTATCTTGCCCTTGTTAAACCACTATACTCACACCTTGGTATAATGAACATAGGCATAACGAATGATCGGTTATAACGAAAAGAGAAGAATAGTCTTATCATGTATACAATGTTCTTTATATACCTTTATAAGAAATTTTCTGTTATATTAAGTATTTTCATGGCAGGTGTGTCTATGTTACTGTGGTTTGAGTATATTCAACAGAACGGCCAAAGACAAGTTGTCCACACTAACATGTACAAATCAGCGGAACAAGTAACGCCTACTGCACCACAGTACTACAAGCTTGTTGCAAAAGCGTAGTGCCAGTTCTGTGCATCATGCTGAATGTGCCCTTTGCCTTTTTGTTTCTTTCTCCTCTTGTTTGCGCAGACCATAACCTTCATGCTGTTTGTGATATCGCTGGTCGAGTTCAGCTATGCCGGCCACGCAGCCCTCTCGGAAGGCATCGCCCTGCCGTCCGTCTACTTCTACACGCCTTTCATCAAGCTGGCGACATTCGTGAGTTTTGCTTGGTTGCTATCCCTTGGTGCGAGTAGCTTCGTGCTAAATACGATTACATTTGTTTGACTCTTACCCTCACATTGATGAGATTAACTAAATGTTGGGAGATTTCGAACCGAAATGAATGTTGAAGGCTACACTCATCGTTAACGAACATAGGTCTTGCACGGAACCATTGACGATACTCGTCATAGCTTTGTTTCTTGACGCTAGATGGCCACGTTTGTCCATGTTTTGCCATTTGTGTCTCGGCTTTCATTTTATAGCCATTGATGCCGCTCTTCTGTCTGTTTCTGAAGCATATGAAATGAACTGTGATTGATTGATTGATTTTTATGTGCAGTTGCTGGCTGGCCTGCTTCTCCTTGCGGGCCGGAAGCGAGGCTATCAGAGCTCCGTGGTGCTCTTTTTATTTTGGTTCCTGCTCATGTTCTTCGGTGTAGTGGCGTACCGGTCACACATCAAGCGTGCCTTAGCACCGCCCGACGAAGATGCACCAGACTATGCCAAAGACGTAAGCTCGTGGTCTCCGACGAAGACCCATCATGAACCAAAACTTCCAATTTCCAGTTCATCAGTTTTCACTGCTGCCACGCGTGTTATGCCAAAGCCACATTCACTGTTGGCAGAGTTCAAGCACTTTATCAGTGCTATCGGCATAAAGCACTGGTAGTGGAAGCAAGGTTCCCGAATGGGCAGGTACAAGTGAATTAAGGATTGGCAGTGACGGTTCGATGAAGGACAGTTACAGACAGAGACTGTCTTTTACTGTCCTTCACTCAACTGTCGCTGCCAATGCCCGAATTGCTTATAGCTACCAATTATGGAACCTTGCTATCACTACCAGTACTTCATGCTTTGAGCAAAACTTCCGTTTCCCGATTGTAAGTGAGCCATGTTACTGTCGACAAGTGTGACTTTGTGTTTCACATCAAATTGCACGATACACACGTAATATATTGTTTATATGCAACGCAGTGTACTGTCGGTCACAAATGTGAAGGTATGGAAGAATGTCGAGCTTTCGCACAGTGTGGCCTGCTATCTATGGAGCAGACTGTACTAACCTATCGTTGTTGACATAGTTGAGAGTCCAACGAAATGCCATCTGGTAGGTGTAGTTGGGGCAAGAAGTTGCAGGCCACTCGCTAAACTCAAACCAGCAACATGTTTGTCGATCAGTGCAGATCCTTAATCTTTATTCACAGTGGAATTTCTGCTTGTGCAAAAGTTCTTTGAAGCAGACGATGTAAAGTTCGTTAGGACATCCATATGCACACACATGCGCTCGCGAACATTTACAGGCTCAAACTATTTTGACAAGCTTTGCTCAGTTGCCATTTTCATTGGGAACAAATGCTCTGTAATGATCAAGGAACAAGTGAACATTACAGTCATTTGACTTCATTCAATCACTCCGTCTTATGTCACTTGCAGGAGAGGCCAGGAGAGCCACTATATTTCGGGGCCTACATGGCCTACTACCCGCTGGTGATAATTCAGTTCCTGCTAAACTGCTTTGCTGACTCCAAGCCCATCTACAGGCAGCACGTGCTGCCACCCGAGGAGGCAAGTTTTTTTCGCTTTGATTAGCAGAATGCCTTCCATTGTTCTTGTTCTGACTTTGTCCTTGTTCATGCCTTCTCATGTGCTTTTGTCTCTTCTTCTGTGTTTTTGCCGCAGTATTTGTGGTGGATTTATACCCACTACCCCAACATAACCTATTTCTGAACATACTGATGGTTTGGAACTGCTGTCTGCCATTTAATGTAATACTTAGCCAATCCTAACAATCATTTAGTCCTAGAGAATGAGTGGGATTGTTGCCTAATTTTTACCACATCATTGAGCTTGTGTATTGATGAAGAGTAATAGTATTTGTTCATGCCATTGTATAATTTCAATAAAAGGCTTTTCACAAGAGGTTGATACAACAAAAATTATTGGATGATGCTGAGCCACATTATTTTGGAAATCAAGCTTATGTTTGCATGTGATGGCATTTGTCCCATATCATGCTTGGGCTATTTTACTTAATGAAGCCTGTTTTAACCCTGTTCACATGTTAAATGTTTCTGCTTCTGGGTAAATGTATTTTATTTTGTTGCTTTCCAGGCTAAGGTAAGGATTTTAACATGGAAAGTGATTCCTTAGTGTGAACACACTATTAGCAAAAGTGTTCTTGCATTGTCCTGAGAGGACATCTGCAGAGCAGTTGTTTTCATGTATTCTCTGTTCTTCTGACACTTTGTTTAAAAGACAATTTAAGGCATTTACATTACATACGTCATCATAAGAGATGTTGAATTAGTACAAAGGTAATGAAGCTGTAGCTGTTTTTGCTGAGTCATCCAGTTTAACAAAAATCAGCATTAGCCAAAGTGGAAGGTATAACAAAGTGAGTTTGCCTGTTCGCATGATAGATGGTATTCTTAAGGCTGTAAAAATTCATATGTAAGCTTATAACTCTTGGATCTCACTAGCATTCAGATACTGCTACTCAATGTGGCACTGGGAATCAGCAGCCGCCTCATGGTACTTAACAACATATGGGGTACATAACAGCAACATGTTACTTAACATCTGTTTTCTTGCTGCTGGAGTATTTGTTTAAGAATTTGACTTGTTTTTGAAGTAACCCATGGCCAACTTGACAAGCTCCAAGTTGTGCATCTTCCAAAGATGGTCTCTATAGGGGTGGGGGGAAGAGGGAAGGGAAGGGTATTCAGCATCCATGCATGTATTGCTATACGATTTAAGACATTGAGAATTGATGTGGGCATCTATTCTTTGGCTGGCTTTACTACAGGGCTGATTTCTGTGCTTTGATTATTCACAGTAATGCATTAGTTTCAGTTTTGATCCGAGTTGTATTAAATCTCGCATAACTTTTAAATTTATTTTTTCATCAGTGATCTTTGTTGAGGGCCTGTTTGCCTCCGGAATATTTCTCGTGCACTTAGAACGGTCAAAGATCGACTTGTGTGCACTGCTTTTTTAAGGCTGGTAGGGCGCTTCTTCTCTTCTCTCCAAAAATAATACTAAAAAAAAATAGAGAAAGGTGTATGTTTACTGAATCTTTATTCCTGGAAACTTTTAATTGCGAAAGTTCGAAGCTGACACTTGGGAAGCTCGCCGTTGAAGTCTTGTGACTCTTCTTTCTTTCTAATTGATGTTATGGCATTGCGTGAGTGAAGCAGACACCATTGATACTCTAGTTGGCAGAAGTAGTTAAAGGAAGCTTGAATGAAATAAAAGCTAGATGGGATAGCAGAAATGGATATGAAATGAATAAGCTCGTAAAGTAGCACTTATCCCAAGTTTTGAGCCCGTGAAATAAAAAATGTGTAGTTTTTAATAACTATGCTCGGTCCAATGCCTGGCTTCCTTCATTGACACATGTAAATGTCGGACATGACAGACATATAAATATCATATGCGTAATAGACATGTAAATGTCACCAATGGGGTAATCATGTAAATGTCGCAGCATGGTAGACATCCAAATGCCATAAACGTCGTAGACATGGTAAGTTATATTTGTTAATGTACTACCTGCCATGGAGACCTAGTGGCTGTCCAGATCACAAAAAAAGCATTGAATCAGCTCCGTGCTATAGTAACCTAGCAATCGCACTTTGATAGTGAAGAAATGCAAAAAGGCTTGTGTACTTTGATATAGGCACATGTTAAAGAACCCTCAGGGGCTCTAAACAAATGTGTAGTTCCCCACTACACTATACCTCATGATCTTGTGGTATTGGTGCGTGTAAACCTTAGTTTATTTTATTGCGATAGCAATCATATGGACACTCTCGGCTAGAGTTTGCCATCGGCATCGCCGTCATTCACCGTATATGTATACGCATTTGTATATATGAAAACGCAAAAAAAAAAAAAACAATTCTGAAAAAAGACTCCGGCGCGCGAAATGGAACGTCCGACCCCTGAATTGCGAGTGCGAGGTGTTAGCCGCTGAGCCACAAAGGAGCACCTCCCTGAACTTTTAAACTGCAAGCTATTTTTATCTACCACTTACCGCTGGCACTGGACATTTTGAAGGGACTATCGTGTTTTCAGCATTACCAGTGGGATGGTGCAATGAGTGCGCGTCGCCAGATCGTCACGGCACGGTGGCACGCGCTCTCATCTCCCACGCATACTTTGCCATGCGAAGAGGGGACGCTCATGCGTGCGCTCGCTTATTTTGCGTGGAGACAATCGTACGCCTTGGGCTTTCACCTGAATGATTCTGTTGTAGTTACTGGGTGGACAAAGGTCACGGCACTCGTTGCACAGTCTCTGTTTGCGAAAAGGGCGCGCTCTTAAGACGCAGCAAAGTTACAACTGAGATGCCTATTCGCATTCATCTGTATCTGTGAGGACGTTTCGTGCGTCATTTGTACATGAGAAACGTAGGGCACATTTCGGATCTGCTTGCCATTCTTCGCGTGACGTTCTAGTTTGTTTCAATCGCGTTCATTGCTTTGCCTTTGCGGCATAGCTGTAACTTTTTTTCAATTTCCTGGTAGGTTTTGATGAAATGTTGTGAGCTTATGTACATTTTCTTTCCAATTTCATATATGCCACTGTTTTTTTAGTATAACGTGTAGTTTTAAAATAAAGGACATTTGATGTGCCTCTTGGGGAGCATGTTTTTTCTAAGCTGAGAGAGTTACAAAGTAAATCAGCACATCACAATAATATGGAATCGGAACTGTGTGCAGTCAATAAAAATCGATATGCTGGACCCATCGGAGGAAAAGTTATGGCATGTTGAAAATTCGTGAGTAAACTCCCAGCCTGAAATTGGCTCATTCTCCAATGTTCAGCATGTCATATCTTTGACTCAAGTTTATTTAGAACATCCAGATTATAGGGATATGCTGATTTACTTTTCTCAGTTGAGAAAAACCTTGCCCCCAAAACGGCATATGAAATGTTTTGTCTTGGAAACTACTGATTATATTGAAAACAAAATTAGTACTTGAAATCAGACCTCAAATATATGTTAACTCTCCAAATCTTGTCAAAATGAATTGAGAAATAAAAAACCTTTATAAGGATGATTGCCCGTCTTCCCCTCTTACGACTTTTGCTCAAGCAAAGCTGGTCCCGGCCCCTGTGCACTTGCAGAAGGAGAGCCCGGAGGCCGCTGCCTCGTTCCTCTCCCAGCTCCTCTTCTCCTGGTTTGACCCGCTGGCCTACAGGGGCTGGCGGCGACCCCTCGAGACCTCTGACCTGTGGGCGCTCAACTTCAAGGACCGCACCGACCAAGTGGTGCCGGATTTTGACCGCCACTGGCTTAAGCAGGTTGCAGCCGCACAGTTTCAAAGGGACAGGTGGGTGTGTGCACTCACTTGGCACTGTTGCATATTTATTAAATCTTTAAAGAAGCAAGCCCTCTTGGGCTATCGACTGCAAAGAATAAAGGCATTGTGTATATGTTTTGTAACCCGATTCTCTTGGAAACCTGGTGCTCTAACCATTACCCGCCACAGTGGTCTAGTGCTTGTGATGCTCATCTGCTAACCAGACGATTGCGGAATCAAGTCTCGACCATGGTGGCGACACTCTTAATAATGGCGGTCATAATGCTAGAGGCCCGTGTACTTGGATTTAGGCGCATGTAAAGAACCCCAGAGCAGAAAGGTAGGTCTTCAAATTAATCTGCAAAAAAAAACAAAGTAATGTGCAACAACCTTGTAACAGTACAGCGCTTCGAGATAGGTAGCAGTGCACTTGAAATTGTAAAAGAGTACGCCTACTTAAACCAGATAGTAACTTCGGAGCCGAACCACGAGATTGAAGTAACTAGGAGAATATGAATGGAGCGGAGCACATTCGGCAAGCATTCTCAAATGATGACTGGTCGATTGCCACTACCCTTCAAAGGAAGGTATATAACAGCTGGATCTTACCGATACCTACCTACAAAACATAAACCTGGAGGATTACAAAGAGGGTTCAATTTGAATTGAGGACGACTCCAAGGGTGAAGCCAGAAATGTTTTTAGGCAAGGGCACCTTCTTGATTTTGGGGAGAGCATCCCCTTCATTTTTCGCTCTCTCTGCCATAGCAAAAAACTTTTCGGTGGCCATGGGCTCGGTGTGCCACCTCTTGGCTACACACCAGAATTTGCAGCGAGCCATGGAAAGGAAAGTGATAGGTGTAACCCCAAGGGATAAAAATTGAGCAGGAGTGTATCGGGTAACAAAGGGATGCTAAGGACATAGTCGAAATCAAAAAGAAGAAATGGTCATGGGCACATAGTGCGAAGGCAAGATAACTGCTGGTGATTAAGGGTCACAGACTGAATTCCAAGAGAAGGCAAGCGGGTGAAACGGGGACAGAAAGTTAGGTGGGCAGATTATATTAGGAAGCTTGTGGGTATAAAGTGGCAGCAGCAGGCACAGGACCGTGTTCACTTTCGCAACATGGAAGAGGCGTTTGTCCTGCAGTAGGCGTAGTCAGGCTGATGATGGTGATGATGATAAAAGAACTCCAGCCGTTCTAAATTTCTGCCATCTTCCAGTGCGGCATTCCTCAATATTATAATGTGGTTTTGGGATGTTAAACACCAATAAATATTATTTCAAGTACACTGCCTTTAGCTTACCCTCGGGCATAATTCCACTCCATATCTCCATGTCAATGGGTGGGTATGCAGAAGCGTCTATCATAACAGCTTTCTGGTGGCAGTTGGAACAACACGGCCATGCCAGAAGTTTGTGACTCAAGTTTCAATTTGGTCTCAAGCCAAGAAAACCCTTTGAAGGAACCTTAATTTGAAAGTGAAGGTACTCTTGATTGGCAACAACTTGATTGTATCACGGTCTCTGTGGTTTCAATGTCGCACTTGCTAATTAGTTTTAAAAATTGTGCAAGGCATGGTTCGACATACAGCAGGCATTGGTCCCCATACAACGTGGATTGCGTGGAGCTGGTTGCACTGTCGCGAAGATGTGTGACTGATCAGCCATGTCTGGAAAAATCGGTCGGCAGTTTGGCTTCATCTAAAGACTATGGACTGGACATTAACCTCTAGTATCAATTTAAACGGGGCAAATGCGACAGTCACTCGCTTAGATTCTCGGATGTGCTGGCCTGCTTGGTGTGCCTGTCTTTCATGTGCGCATTTTAAAAAGAAATGTCAAGGTTGTACTAGTGAGCTATCACTTCCAGTGAGGTTATGTAGGAACTCCAGCAGCTTGCATCGTAAGCCGTCTGCATCGTAAAATGAAACGATTTCTACAGTAGAACCTCGTTCATATGATTTTAAAGAAAACGTGGGTAAGAACATACCATGCAGGAAAAATGCAATCTGGGAGAGGTACTGAGTAAATCAGCACATCAGAATAATCTGGAATCGAAACTGTAATCAGAAGGTCACGATAACATTGCAGTGTTGCTATATGAAGATATATTCACAAATGTTAGCAGTGGAAAATTGTATGAAGTGGGAAGATATCGATCATGTTCTGCTGTAGTGTAATAATCTGCTCTGCTGAAGATTTGAACAGTGGTCTCTATGGTTATTGTAATGATTTGTTCCTGTTTTGGATTGCTCTTTCTGTCGTAACTCTGAGCTTGCAGTTAAATTGTGTTGTCTGCATACCCGGTTGTGTAAATGCAGTAAATATCTCTATCTCTTTGGCAGGAACACAGCCGCTGGAGCACCAGCAGGGGGCGATGTAGCGGCCAGTTTCCACCACAACAACGCCAACCACGACGGCGGCGAGGTGAAGTTCTCGGACCCAAACTCTCGGAAGAAGACCGGCAGCTCGGCCTCATTGCCACCGGGCGGCGAGCGGCGCATTAAGCTCAGCATTGTCAAGGCTCTGATTCAGACGTTTGGTCCGAGCTTCTTTCTCGGAAGCATCCTCAAGTTGGTCCACGACACATTGCAGTTCGTATCGCCCCAACTGCTTCGGTGAGTGAGGTTGTGGGTTGGCTTCGCAGCTAAGGGTAGTGCACTTGAATCAAAAACAGATTCATTAGCCCACTTGCATTTTGAATTTAAATGTTTTTGCTCCTGCATAAAGGTTTACGGGAAGCTTTGGCCTCCATTGTCTTGCGATAATAAAATGGTGATCACAAAATTTAAAGAAGTGGAGTATTTAAAAGATAATTTGCCAGCCTGAACTGATTGCAGTAGGTCTCTGTTTAAACATTTTTAAAACAACACGAAAAAAAAATGTTAAGTCTAAATTTACTGAAATATTGCACAGTTATGCTTCATAGCCATACCGTAAACACTGGCAAGCAAAACTGCATGAAACGAGAATGGATCAACCAGGTGCTACTTTAATGTTCCACATTAGCGTCTGTTTCAAAAACACAACGAAGGAAAACTGCACATGACACTAGCTTTCTCGGCCATTGAAAGTAACAACGGATTTTTCTTTATGCTGCTTTTTTTTTTCTGAAAGGAAAACAAAACTTTTGATGTAAACAGCCACTTCATCCTGTGCCTCTGTCTCCCTCCACAGAGCGATGATTGGCTTTGTGGGCTCAGGCGAGCCAGCATGGAAAGGGGTGTTCTACGCAGTGCTCATATTCGCCACGGCATCGCTCCAGTCACTGATGTTGTCGCGGTACTTCCACCGTATGTACATCGTCGGCATGCACATCCGCACCTGCCTCATCTCGGCCATCTACCGCAAGGTGCGCAGCCATATAGTGTAGGCCATAGTGAACGCCTTGTTTCGCCATTGCATGCTGAAGTACACTTCAACCTCGGTATAACGAAGTAATTGTAGAACAGTATTGCTGCACACACAGTGTTAGGAATAAAATTTTATCACTGCACCATTAATAAAGCACTGTCGCCTGCATTTAGCATTTTAACTTTAGCTGTACATGTGCTATTTTTCGAGGACATTGTTTTGTTGTCCCCACCTTACATTTAATACTGAGTGCTATTGATGTTTAGAACTTTTGATCTAGTGGACTTTCTAGAAAAAGAAAACTGCAGAAAATAATTTAGTAGACTTGAACACTCATTATCGTCGGTAAAATACGAAGCTAGTGAAGCTACCAGGGCTACTTTCTATCTACCTTGCTATCTATGGTGCATTTCGTGTTGATATTTTCCTAATGAAGAACAATAATAACTGGTAAGTGCCTCTGTACCAATGGATTCTTTTGATTTATTGGTAGCAAAGTTGTTGCCAGTCCTGTGCTTTGTTGTTTTTATTTCTTTTGCGCTACAATTTTTTTCTTAACATCATGATTGGGCTTGAGCTCTTTGTCGTCGGAGACTTTTGCCAATGTACCCTGTCGTGTTTTATTAATTTAATTGCGCCCCGCCGCGGTGGTCTAGTGGCTAAGGTACTCGGCTGCTGACCCGCAGGGTGCGGGTTCGAATCCCGGCTGCGGCGGCTGCATTTCCGATGGAGGCGGAAATGTTGTAGGCCCGTGTGCTCAGATTTGGGTGCACGTTAAAGAACCCCAGGTGGTCGAAATTTCTGGAGCCCTCCACTACGGCGTCTCTCATAATCATATCGTGGTTTTGGGACGTTAAACCCCACAAATCAATCATTGATTTAATTGCCTTTTTGCTGTGTTTTTTTTTCACTCTGCAGAGCCTGGTGCTGTCCAATGCGGCCAAGAAGGAGTCGACGACGGGCGAGATCGTGAACCTCATGTCGAACGACGCCCAGCGCTTCATGGAGCTCATGGTGTTCCTCAACATGCTGTGGTCAGCACCCTACCAGATTGCGCTGGCGCTCTACTTCCTCTGGCAGCTGCTGGGAGTCGCCGTGCTTTCAGGTGTCGGCATCATGGTGCTCATGGTGCCCATCAACGGATTCCTGGCTGCCTACTCCAAGAAACTCCAGGTACGTCATCGTGGCATGCTTCAGCTGAGCCTCATCGTTTCAAGAAATGCCAACACTGCATAGTACACTGGACAACGGTTCATGAGCAATAGGCCGTGAACGACAGCATTTGTTATGGAGGAATAGACAAGTCTCAACTGAGAAATGGACAAGCTTTTACTGCGCAGTGAACAGCAGTCTTTACTAGGGGTTAAAGAACAACACTCTTTTGTGGGAACTGAACATCAGTCTTCACTTGGCATTAAAAGCCATCACTTAGCAGTGGACAACATGCTTTGCTGGACAGTGGACTCCGGTCTTTTCCGAGAAATGAACCAATGTTTTTGCTCGGCAATGGACAGCAGTTCTTACTGAGCAATGGGCAATATTCATTACCGAACAGTAGACAACCGTCTTTACTGCACAGTGGAGAGCAGTCTTTACTGGGTGTTAACAATGGTCTTTTCTGGGCACTGAATATCAGTGTTTACTCAATAATAGCAGCCTTCAGTGAGCAGTGGACAACATGCCTTGCTGGACAGTAGACACCGGCCTTTCCTGAGAAATGGACCACTGTTTTTACTGAGCGATGGACATTATTCATTACTGAACAGTAGACTGCAGTCATTACTGTGCAGTGGATGACTGTCTCTATTGATAAATGGGCAACATAAACTATTGAAGCACTGGCAACAATCTCGGAGCATGATCCTAAATGGTGTAAAAGATTGAAAAACGAGGTTAGAGAAGGGAGATCAGACTCGAGCGCTACACAGCGATACATGCGAGAGAGTCATACCAAGTGCTTAGCTTAGTGTAAGCCATCTGACCGGATTTTCTGTCCTGTGAGGCTATGCAGCGGCTTAACTCTGGCAGATCTCTGTCCTCCTGGTCGCAACAAAATTAGGAAGGAACTGGATGTGAAAGTTGTGGTGTACACGTATCCCGAAGGAGTACGGCCACCAGCGTGGGTCCGGTCTCAGCGAGCCGCTGGGCACGCGTTAACCGTCGCCGTGGCGGGAAACACGATACTGCTCAAGTCGCAACACTTTATTGTGGCAACACCAGACGCAGTACAGCCCGTTGCAAAAAAGGCGCGGCGGGAAAGCAAGTAGGCTTATCCACGCCACGGGCACAAAGTACTACACAGGGTGCCACGAGCACGTCTCCGCGGTAAAGGTAATCCACGGAGACACCGGGACAAAGGGGCCCGGTTGCTCGAGCGAGGGCAAAGGCGCTCGCATTGGCTTCGAAGGGAGACGGGTCGGCGTAGCTAGGCCACGCACTAGGACACCGTACTGCCCTTCGGCCGGGAGTACGCAGCGGGGCAACAAAAGGTAAGCGTTCGCATCGGGCGCGAGGCGCCGTCAGCGAAGTCCGACGAGCCCCGAGCGACGGGACTCGACGGACAGAAAAGAATGCGTGGCTCACCGGTTGAAGTCCCGGACTGTACTCCCCGCTCCCGACGCAGCGCGCGAAAAACCTCTTGCGAGTCCCCGCGCGCGGCGCCACAGTCAACATCCGCTACCGGGTGAGGGAGTTAAACGTCACTCCGCCCTTCCCAGCGCGGCTGACGGCAAAGGAGGGCAGACATGTCGGGACATGAGAATGGCAGAAAGGCGGGAAAGCCCGCGCAAAGGCAGCGGGCCAGCCTCAATTCCCACAAAGTTTTCTTGCCAAACGTTCCTGGCATTTTTCTGTGTTTACAGACGCGCCAGATGAAACACAAGGACGAGCGCATCAAGCTGATGAACGAGATTCTGGGTGGCATGAAGGTTCTCAAGCTGTACGCCTGGGAGTCCTCGTTCCAAGATCAGGTGCAGCACATCCGGGAGCGCGAGGTGCGCAACCTGCGCCGCATGGCTTACCTGTCAGGCGTCATGTCCTTCCTCTGGACCTGCGCCCCTTTCCTGGTGAGTCGTCCCAGCAATGCTGTGCCCCATCACCAGGATTAAACCTTTCAAACTATAATTGTCGTTGCGGTTGTCTCTACAGTCAAACCTCATTATAGCGGTTGCATAAACGAAAATAAGCTCATTATATCAAAAAATTCATTATAAAGGTTATTTCTAATACTGTTACGAGGCTATTTTTTATTTACTTTGTTATAACCAATATTTTGTTATATCCAGGTCCATTAAATCGAGGTTTAAATGTATTGTTTATCATTGTGTCGCCAGCCACTCCTGGTCACTAAATACCACTACATGAACGTCTGTCTGCTTGATGTTACTATGTGGCTGTGATCTGATAAATACGAATGCCATCCAACCATTCGCTGGCGGGATTTCCTAGTCTTGCCTCATTTAAAAATGTGCACTTGTGAAAACTAAAAAAAAGCAAGCTTTAAGCTTAGTGTCATCACTGCTTCTTCTTTGTTCATATTCTAAGTGTTTACAAGAGGAGGAGAATTATATATCGTGTGAATTAGTGTGAAGCTACCACTTCATTTGAGGCTTACCATATTTACTCCTACAAGGCCAGTGCTAATGGGTGACCAGTTTAAGCTGTTTTATTTTGCTTGTTTCATTAACTTGCTGAATTTTTTATACCACTGTTGGCTAGCGTTGGACATCAATTCATTCCGGATCGTTAATAATGATAGTGCATTTCTTCATTATTATTTTTCCATCAACATCTCTTTTAAAAAGTTTTTCTGACTTCAACATCACGGTAACAGGATTAAAACTTTATTGGCTTTTTGAAGGTTTCTTTACACTTTATAGCGACACTGCATGTATGCAGTTATGTTCAGCAATTCCTGCTACGCTTATTATAACAATAAAACCTTCTGCTGTGTAATGTTAAACTAAGTTATAGCCCATTATGATCACACTATTTCAAGCCTTGTAGACTGTGTCGTTTCCTATGCAGCATCTTTTATTATTGATCAGCATAATGTAGATGTCGTTCCATACACGCCACCAATGCTTCAATTTTATCTATATTTAAATTCTTTTTTTTTCTTTCACACACGCTTACGGCCAGGTGTCGCTGATGTCGTTCATGACATACGTGCTCATCAGCGACAAAAACGTGCTGGATCCACAGCGGGCGTTCGTGTCGCTCACGCTGTTCCACATTCTCCGTTTCCCGCTGTCCATGCTGCCGATGTTAATATCCATGCTCGTACAGGTGAGTGCAATAACGTGCCAACAAAAACAAAAGTATTAAATAATGCCTAATTTTCGAAGATTTTTGTATTTTAAAACTCTTACAGTGCGAAAGCTATAGCTTAGAAGTTTTACATACAGAACAAAAAAATGGGAAACTTATACAAGGCTGCATCTCTTATTGCAGTTGAACCCATATTAAAGAGACATGTTCTTGTCCTTTATATGAGCAATCTTTTATAAGCTGGTTACCAGAATCTCATTTTCTGAACCCTAATTTGCATTGAATAAAAAGACGAGAACACCTTGTGATCTAAAGCAAGGGCCACTTATAGTTGGCGTCCTCATCTTTTTTATTTGATTTATATGTGGGGTTTAACGTCCCAAAACCACCTTATGATTATGAAAGACGACATAGTGGAGGGCGTAGTAGTGGACGTAGTAGAGGGTGGAAATTTCTACCACCTGGGGTTCTTTAACGTGCACCCAAATCTGAGCACACGGGCCTACAGCATTTCCGCCTCTATCAGAAATGTAGCCGCCGCAGCCTGGATTCATTCTCATGTCCTACGGGTCAACAGCCAAGCACTTTAGCCACTAAACCACCGCGAAGGGGCGTCTTCATCTTTTTGTTCAACAATTCTTTCCTGCGAGATGCGTGTCCGTCAGAGCCTTTATTTCAGCCCCATGATGTTCTGCCGCACGATGTTGATTTCAGCCCCATGAGAGCCTCGATTTCAGCCTCATGTTGGTACGCTGGAGTCATAAAGTTGTCTTATACTCAGTTATTCTTACATCAGTGTCTTCTATAAAATAATGAAACTATACTTACAATATCAAAGAAGTGGACAACAGAAAGAAAGAATATGGGTCAGTTTTTGTTTTTGTTAAATAGTTGGAAATGTGAAAACGTAGAAATTGTAGGATTAGAGGTGATGAAAAGCAAGAAAGAATTGTAAATTTGATTGTTTGTAAAATATACGCTGTTGCATAATGTGGTTTTTATAGAAATCTGCAGAATGACAATTTTTTCATATAGGAAAGCCTATATTGCAAATCATTTGCATGTGGCAACGAGCGAGTGATGTTTTAGTTGCATCAATAATTGGTAAGGCCGGTCACTGATTAATGTTAGTGTTCATACAGAAAAAAAATTCTCATCGAAATAAATATTCATGGCTTCATGAGAATTTATCTAAAAAGTGCAAAGTATAGCTTTTTGTACTTTTCAAATTATTGAGGATTTACATCAACTATGCTGAAACATCCCCTCATTTTGCAAAATAGCAGAATTCTCATCATTGTTTTCGGCTTGGCCACGGTGTTTTTGTTTGCCATCAATGCAGTCTTTAAAATACAGGCAGATATTTATAACCTTCCCAAAGCATATTTAAGTACACTGAAATATAGCAACGGGCGAGTTTATTCCATCATCCGTCCATTCATGTTATCGGTGCATGCAAAGTGCATTCTGAAAATGTATTCTTTAGCTGGAAGGATGCGCTCTTTTGCTTGTGTATTTGTGATCTTTTGTTGATTTGCCTCGCAGGCAAGCGTGTCAGTGAAACGGATGAACAAATACTTGGGACACGAGGAGCTTGAGGAATATGTCTCCCACGAAAAGGACGATGGTAAGCTGGTCTAGCCATTGCTCAGTCCTTGCCTAGAATGTTATTCTGCTTCTCATTGTAGTATAGATGCATAGAGGATGCATTTTTAATGGGGACAGTTAGGTTGAGCCACATCCCCGAAGTTGAAGCAGCAGCAAGTTCTTGTCCCTGTGTTATCAATGCCACTTAGCTTCACTAGCAGTAGAAAACTCACGCTATCTTTAGTCAGTTCTGCCATCTACTTATTTAATTATTTATACATACCCGCAAGCACTGAGGCCATTACTGAAGGAAGTGGTGACATAAAGAAAAAGACAGTTGAAGTTCTAGTCGTAAATTTTAGCTAATTAGTCATAAAAACAGTTTCTGTGTAGAAGTCGCTGATGCAGGAAAATAATTCCAGTGTTCAGTGTGTTGGTACTGACTTTGGTACGGTCAAGGCTTAAAGAACAAAAGCTTGGTAGGAAAGTAGATCTCCAAAGAATTGTAGGACATGGTTGTAAATTTTGAGAGAGCAGGATAGCATGAAATTTCTCTGAAGTGTGCCAGTGTTCTGGTTTATTTTTCATGGACCTGGCTGAAATCGATACAATTATTTTATTAATCACACCCTCTATTTCTTTCCAAGCTTGCGTTAAATGTTGTAAAAGGAGATTCGTAGTGTGACATATTAAGTCTGTAAAAAAAAAAAAGTGTGGATAGCTTGCACTTGTGGTGCAAAGCTGAACCAGCAGCGGAGCTTGCGGCCGACCTAGAATATTTGTAAGGTTTTAATTAGCTTACTAATAATTATCAAGCTTCTAATAGGGCTGTACTTAATTAGCATGGTTTTAAGTGATAGTATAATAATTAGCATGATCTTAATTAACATGTTCCTCTCTTTCGCTCTTTCCCCGTTTTACATTTATCGGTTCTGTTCTCTTTTGTTTGTTTTTTCAGAAAGCACATGTATTGAAATATGTGCCTTCATTGCACCGTCAACATGTCATCCTCAGTCAGTGTGTTGGCTAGAGGCCTTATGATCTGTCAAGTTTACTTATTTACTTAGAGATACCCAAAAGTGTACTATAGCTTCCTCATTTCTCAAATATATGTAGCAAAAATCAAGCTAATATTCTATTATATAAAGCAGAGTACATTGTAAAAAATATATTTTGATATATATATTTACCCTATTATATAAAGAACAGAACATAGTAAAAAACACTGCGCGAAAAACGTCAGGCAAGAAACAGAGACAAGACAGTCAATCGTTTCTGTTGTTTTAACAGTGATTTTATACTATGTATGTGAACCAACTCACCCAAGCCTTAGCCTTTTAAAGAAGAGGACAAAAAGAGCACACAGTGGCGGAGAGAGTTGTCACATAGTATGTGCCGCTTAGTTTTCAGGTCACGTCAAACAGAGCAAAAATCATAAACAGCTCTGTCGTCAAAATTTATGTTCTAACATTTATATCTTACATTTTTTTATTTTAATTTGGGGCATCCTTACAGGGGTGCAATTGTTCACTTGTCATTAATTTTCTCCACAGCATCCATTCCGATTCGAGTGCGCAATGGCTCGTTTGCATGGACCAAGGACGAGGAGCCTGTGTTACGGGACCTGGAAGTCCAGGTTCCCAAGGGCGCACTGGTTGCCATCGTAGGGCAGGTAGGGTCGGGCAAGTCGTCCTTGCTTTCGGCTCTGCTTGGCGACATGGAACGCATCGAAGGCTCTGTGAACGTCCAGGTGTGTATGTGTGTGTGTCATACATTTTTTCTGCTGCAAGGCTGAGATGCATTGGTACTCAATAGTCGGATGCAACTCGAGAAGTATGCAGTATTTCCTCCTTAGGGGCGGGTGATACAAGCCTGCACCAATGGGCACGTACTCCAGACATACAACGTGAGCAGGACTGCCAGTGACTACGCCTTTAGAGAACATTGCCAAATTTATTCATCATCATCATCAGCCAGACTACATCCCCTGCAGGACAAAGGCCTCTCCCATGTTCTGCCAGTTAACCCGGTCCTGTGCTTGCTGCTGCCAATTTATACCCGCAAACTTCTTAATCTCATCTGCCCACCTAACCTTCTGTCTCCCCCTAACCCGCTTGCCTTCTCTGGGAATCCAGTTAGTTACCCTTAACGACCAGCGGTTATCCTGTCTACGCGTTACATGCCCGGCCCATGTCCATTTCTTCTTCTTGATTTCAGCTACGATATCCTTAATCCTGGTTTGTTCCCTAATCCACTCTGCTCTCTTCTTGTCTTTTAAGGTTACATCTACCATTTTTCTTTCCATTGCTCGTTGGGTCGTCCTAAATTTAAGCTCAACCCTCTTTGTAAGTCTCCAGGTTTCTGCTCCGTAGCTAAGTACCGGCAAGATACAGCTGTTATATACCTTCCTCTTGAGGGATAGTGGCAATCTACCTGTCATAATTTGAGAGTGCTTGCCAAATGTGCTCCACCCCATTCTTATTCTTCTAGTTACTTCAATCTCGTGGTTCGGCTCCGCGATTATTACCTGCCCTAAGTAGACATAGTCTTTTACAACTTCAAGTGCACTATTACCTATCTCGAAGCGCTGCTCTTTGCCGTGGTTGTTGTACATTACTTTCGTTTTCTGCAGATTAATTTTAAGACCCACCTTTCTGCTCTCCTTGTCTAATTCCGTAATCATGAGTTGCAATTCGTCCCCCCGAGTTACTCAGCAATGCAAAGTCATCGGCGAAGCGCAGGTTACTAAGGTACTCTCCATTAACTCTTATCCCTAACTGTTCCCATTCTAGGCTTCTGAAAACCTCCTGTAAGCACGCGGTAAATAGCATTGGGGAGATTGTGCCCCCCTGCCTTACACCCTTCTTGATTGGTATTCTGTTGCTTTCTTTATGAAGCACTATGGTAGCAGTTGATCCCCTATAGATTTCTTCTAGGATGTTTATATATACTTCATCGACGCCCTGATTCCGCAGTGTCTGCATGACGGCTGATATTTCTACTGAATCAAACGCCTTCTCATAATCTATGAAGGCTATGTATAGTGGTTGGTTATATTCTGAGCATTTCTCTATTACCTGATTGATAGTATGAATGTGGTCGATTGTTAAGTAGCCTGTTCAAAATCCTGCTTGTTCTTTTGATTGATTGAATTCTAATGTTTTCTTTACTCTGTTGGTAATTACCTTTGTAAATAGCTTGTATACTACAGAGAGCAAGCTAATCGGCCTGTAATTCTTCAAGTCCTTGTCATCTCCTTTCTTATGTATTAAGATGATGTTAGCGTTCTTCCAAATGTTAGCGTTCTTCCAAGACTCTGGTACTCTTCCTGTCAGGAGACACCTCGTAAACAGGGTGGCTAGTTTTTCTTACACAATCTGTCCTCCATCTTTCAGCAGATCTGATGTTACCTGATCCTCACCAGCAGCTTTGCCTCTTTGCATGCTCTCCAACGATTTTCTGACTTCTTCTATCATTACTGGTGGGGTGTCATCTGGGTTACTGCTAGTTCTTATAGTATTAAAATTGTGGTTGTCCCGGCTACTGTACAGATCTCTGTAAAACTCCTCCGCTATTTTAACTATCCTATCCATATTGGTAGTTATTTTGCCAAATTTATTAGTGGGACCATTTCTTGAGTCATAAAGCCAAATGGCTGTCGCACTTCATTCTTCTCTGTGGGGTCTTTCTGGACTTAAGTTGTATTCGACTGAAGACCAGCGGATCTCAAACTGGTCTGCGTAGACCCCAAGTTGCAAGTGTATTTATGTATTGCTAAACCTCACCGTAATGAAACTGAAGGGTCATTGTGATTTGCTCATTATAAGCATTGTTTTGTTACAGCAGCAGGAGGCATTCACTGCAAATAACATACATGTACGCTGTGTGGATTGACTGCATGCCATGTGCAGTGAAAGTATGGTAGGAATGGTTTTACTGGTCTAGCAGTGTGTGCATTGTGCCATCCAGCTTTGTGTGCGTTGCTGAAGTACGTCTCCAGGAGTTTTGAAATGCTCAATGCTCTTGTAGCGTTGCACAATGTCGTGATTTTGGCTCAAAATATCATTAGAGAATAAAATTTGTTCATTATTGCCCATAATAGAGAAACTTTGCCTAGTTAAAATAAGGTTTTCAGTACACTGGTTTCTATGTGAACATTCAAGGGGATCTCAGATTCGCTCATTACGCCAATTATTTTGTGATAGCATAACTCGTAACGAATTTCAACTATCATCACAATTTTCTCAAGGACGGTGACCTACGAGATTTAAGATAGCTGGCCAGCCAGTGGTGGTGTTGGGGCATTAAAACTTTCGTTAGGCAGATTTAGAAGAGTCGGCTCCCATTCTTTCTTCTTTTCCTTTCCCTCTCTGTGCTATTATCCAGGGCTCGGTTGCATACGTGGCTCAGCAGGCATGGATCCAGAACGCCACAGTACGTGACAACATCATCTTCCAGCGGAAGATGGAGCGTGACCGTTACAAGCGCACTCTCGAACAGTGCGCCCTGCAGTCGGACCTCAACATCCTGCCAGGTGGAGACCTCACCGAAATTGGCGAGAAGGTGGGCTCGTTTGCGGCAAAGTATCGGCAACACTTCAAGCTGTACAGTAGAACCTCGTTTTTATGTTTAGAAAAATAATCGCGAGGAAAATCTTACTATTTGAGAAAATGTACTATCCAAACACACTGAAACGTTGAGCAGTTTTGTCTGATAACATTCCAAGCATTGGTAATGGGAAATGATACAAAACAAGAGCAAAGGCATGAGGTCTTACTGTGCACTTGAAGGGGTTTAGCAGGACAATTCAGGTTCGTGTTTATTTTAGATGCGAAGCAGCTCATTGACTAGCCTGTGTAACGCTGTCCTTCCGTTCGGGCTGCGCTCTTCGGGTCGCAGGTGTTGGGGCGGTGCCAAGTAGGTCACATGTCCCCTCGCAGTGTATGCATGTTGATGTCACTCTCTTCCTAGCCTGTTGCAGCTCATCGCGTGTCATCTCTTTCGCTTCAGCCTCTCCAGCGCTTGCAACGTTCGAGCGCACATCGAGGGAACAGTCTTTATCTGGAATGAAACTTACATGAAAGCCACAACAACTTGCTTGTTTTTGCTTCTTGAGCAAACGTTTACTCTAGTAAATGCTACATCAAGTTTTGCTTCAGATTGTTCTTTCAGCACTCGCTTCGACACCTGTTTCAACGAGGTCAACACTGTGCGCACCGCTGCTGCTTCGCATCCCATCAGGGTTCCCTTCGGGAAGATCGTCCATCATTTTTCATATAACAGTTAGGCAGACAACAGCTAATAGAGCAAATGACGTGGGTTCATCTTTTGGATTTAGATTAGTCTTGTTTTATTGCAACGAGGGCTGCTGCAGTAGATCATTGGTTATAGTGCTTGATTGCTGTCCTAAAAGGTGTTGGTTCAATCACAGTTGTGTTAGTCATATTTCAAGGCAGGGGAAATGCTAGAGGAACGTGTAGTGCACCATGTCGATGTAACTTAAACAGTCTTAAGGAGTCGAGTTATCTGTGGCCTATGCACTGTGGCATTTCTCATAGTAAGAGTTGTTTTGGGATGTTAAACCCAATCAACAGACTAACATTCATGGGGGCTTATTTTTTAGGGCATCAACCTGAGTGGTGGCCAAAAGCAACGCATCAGCCTGGCTCGTGCCGTGTACAACGACGCCGACATCTACCTGCTGGATGACCCGCTGAGCGCCGTCGACTCGCACGTGGGCAAGCACATCTTCGACCAGGTCATTGGCCCCAAGGGCGTGCTCAAAGACAAGGTGAGGATGGGAAGCTAGCGTAGTCTCGGCCATTTATTGCACTAGCGATAGAGAATATTAGCCCTGAAAAATTGTTCATCGAGGCAATATGAAGCTGAGAGCTTCGAATTGTGTCGTTATTTTTCTGCATGTGGCTGAGAAGTTCAGAAGAAAGAACACTGTTTGGGAGGAGAGTGATCATTAACAACCTGTAACTTCTTTTATACATTAAAAAGTAACTTTGGCAGCTTTGCACTACAGTAGTGTCGAGCACGGCAGACACAGTAGAGCTGGGCAGCCTTCCTCGTTTTTCTTTAATTTGTTTTCTTTCATCCTCTCTTGCTCTCTGCTGTCTGAGCTTTTTAATCCAGACAAATGGTCACAAGTGTTCCATGAGTGAAGCAGAAGATAAGGAAGAGCATGAAAAATGTGTGTCAACAATGCCATTGCATTCATAGTGAAAATAAATTTTGTTTGCGCCCAGCGCAGTTTCTCAGAGCTCAAGCTTCGCTTTATTTATTGCACAAATGATTTACTCTATGGGTATCTGAACTGCATACATAATTTCAAAATAAACGTTTTAAGGGCTCCGTTAGAGTTGCCGGAGTCATTTAGTTTCATTTCTAACCTTTCTTGTTGCCCCCGCAGACGCGCCTGCTGGTGACGCACGGCATCTCGTATTTGCCGCAAGTGGACCGGGTGATCGTGCTACGGGACGGCCGCGTCGAGGAGCAGGGCACCTACCAGGAGCTCTTGGAGCGCAAGGGGGCCCTGGCAGAGCTCCTGCTGCACTTTCTCCGGGAGGAGAGCCAGGAGGACAAGCTCTTCAACGAAGACCCGAACATTGTTGAGGACCTCTTGCTGCACGTTGCCTCTCCGGAGATCACCAGGTGTGTCTGCTGCCCACTGTTACTAGGCTTGTGCGAATATTCGAATGCTTTAAATATTCAAACGAATAGTTGAGTATTCGAATTCACTTCTATTTGAATTTAAATTATAGAATATTTTCGAAGTATTCGCAATGAACAAATAGGTGTATATTAATCCGCGTATCACCGCTTGTAATGGGGGTTTCACTGCAATGTAGGGGTGCTAAGCAGTGAAAGCATCTACCAAGGAAAAATTTTCTTTGTCGTGATGCCCTCTTTCAAATTTAAAGGGGCCCTGCAATATTTATTGAACATGGTCAGATAACGCTGCGGATCGGTAGTCGAGGCTCCCGAGAACACGCAAGGCGAAAATTGTAGCGCAGCACGTGGCCTGTAATTCACAATAAATTTTCAAAGCTGAAAATTGCTTTCTTTCTTCAGCAAATGACACTACAGGCTCAAAAATCACTTGTCACAGCCAAGAAGGAATATACGACTCTGGTCACCATTGGCTGATTTAAGCATGGCGCGCTCGTCATTACCGGGACCGGCGCTTGTCCACGAGTTCGTGCGCGATCGCACTGAAAGGACATGTATTCAAAAAAAAAAAAAAAACAGATGCTCAAGGTCGGGAGATGCGTGTCAAGTTTTTTTCTTTCGCCGTGCCATTCGTCCCTGCTTAGCTTCCAGCTATTCCGTTGGGACGAGAAGATAGAATGCAATTGCAGCATGCAACAAATTTTGGAACTCCGTTCGTACTGGACTGATTCTAGAAACCTTGCGGCAGTAAATTTGTGAGGCAACAAGCATGTTTACTGGCTCCATGGCTACTTGAAAAAGTGTTTCAGGGCCCCTTTAAAGGAACATGTTACCCTCAGATCAATTCTTCATTTTATTAAGCTTGTTATGATGGCTTATATGATCCAAGCACAATAAATTTTGAAACGTTAAGTGTCTTACAGGTTAACACTCGTATCCTATCGAAACTACTACTCAAGGTTGCTTTGACTTTCTTTGAACTAAAAAAAAAGGGTATTTGCATAGAGCCCCTATTTCAATTCAAAAGAAATATTGTGCAGGTTAGTTAGGTCATGATAAGTATTCCCTTTTTTTATATGTCATTCATACCATTCGAATTCGGTTTTAAATTATTCGATCAAAATCACTATTTGCTTCGAATTCGCTTCGAACCGAAAATTCACTATTTGCACAAGCCTAGCTGTTACTTATTTTACCGGAAAGTTTTTATAACTCGCAGATTTCGGATGCCGCAAACTCCAGTGTCGGCTTGTGTAATAAAAAGTGCAGCCCTTGAAGGTGTCTGTCACGTGCATGTTTGTATGCGCCGTTTTACAATAATGGCTGCTCTCCAGATCGAGAGCTTGTCAGCGATCAGCAGTTTCTGACATGAAAGTCTGGTCTTTTATCAAGATCACTAGTACACTCATACCTCATAATAACAAAGTTATATCGTACCCGAAATTAAAGTTTGTTATGTCCTAAATTTCGTTATAAAGGTATATTTCTTACACTACATCTATTGCAAAGCTATTCTTCTGTTACTTTGTTATAACCAATGTTTAGTTATATCCGGGTTCGCTATATCGAGGTTTGAGAATTTCACATACCGTAATTACTCGAATCTAACGCGCACCTTTTTTCCGGTTAAGCGAGTTCATAAATCGCATGCGCGTTAGAATCGAGTACGAACAAAAAAAATTGCGGTCAATCTATTGCCATCGGCAAATCCAAAATGGCCGCCCCCTACGTGCGCCGGCATGGCGCGTCGGCCATTTCTGGGTATGTGTTTCCCATGTGCGGCACTTCGTACGTGTGCTGAGGAGTCCGTCATCTAGTAGTGCATTAGCATCGACGGCGTGGAAGGGCCGACTCCAAAAACTCGAGTGCACCACGATGCCGCTTTTAAAAGGAAAGTCATGGCGTGTGCAGAAACGGACGGAAATCGGGCCGCATCGCGGTCGTTCGGAGTTCCCGAAACGTGCGTGCGGGACCGGCGGAAACAAAAGCAGAAGATTGTCGACAGCAAAGCTTCACGCAAAGGCTTCAGTGGACCACAGCAGGGTCGGTTTCTGCAAATTAAAGAGCTGCTCGGCGAGTATGTCTTGAGCAGCGAGCGACACAGCCCGTGACGACAGAACTGCTCCAAGTGCGGGCTATGCAATTAGTCTTAGAAAAAGGTCTAATGCGGAGCCAGCTTAAAGCGAGCAGCTGCTGCCTAAATAACTTTATGAAGAAGAAAGGCTTTTTCCTCCGAAGGGGAACATGCATATGCGAAAAGTTTTGCGGAGGAGTACGATAAAAAACTTGACAGTTTTCAGAGGTTCGTCCTAAACTTGCGGCGCAACAACAGCTACATGCTTGGGCAAATCGGGCTTGCCGATCAGACGCCTCTTTACTTCGACATGCCTGGCACCACAACCGTCGAGAAGAAGGAGGCAAAGCAAGTTCGCGTGCTGACATCAGTCCACGGTAAAACTACAGTGACGGCAATGCTCTGTTACACATCAGATGGGCACAAGCTTCGCCCGTACCTCATATTTAAATGGAAGACGCTCCCGAAAGGAGTTGTTTTTTCGAGTGGTGTGATCGTGCGGGCCAGCGAGAAAAATGGGTGCGCGTTGCAATCGATGTCTTACTTTTTTTTTTTTTTTTTCGCGGTGGAAATCGGGTGCGCGTTACAATCGAGGGCGCGGTAGAATCGAGTAAATACGGTAGCCAGGTTTCGTTGTTTCACAGATGACGGTCGTCGTTACCTGTAGCAACTTGAAACTTTGCACTGCTAAGCGTGTGGATGGAGTGAGTTTCAATTCCCAGCATGCAGGAAGGAAGGATTTTGAAGGGAGCATTGAAATAAAATAAAAAGAAAAGTATCACCTCAGACACGCACACGTTAAGCTTCATGTGCCCCCAATTTTTTCAGTAAAGGAACAACTCCTGTATTTTTTTCCTTTTGTGTGACATTAGGTTTCACTAAGGTGATCAAAACACCTCATGACATTGCAGGCAGCTGTCGGAGCACAAGTCGACGTCGGACTTGTCGGAGGCAGAGCGCAAGGAGTTCCTGCGGAGCCTGTCCCGCCAACTGTCTGAGACGCAGAGCCAAGGCTCCAACGGACCTAGCTCGGTCCCGCAGGCTGCGGTGCCGGGCGTCGGCCCTCGCCGCTCGAGCGCCGGCACCGAATCGATGTCGGGCCGCTCACTCTCACGCTCGCAGTCAACCTTGCGCGCCGGGCAGGGGGAGAAATCTGCCTCTGTGGAAGAGGCCGGCACGAAACTGGTTCAGGCGGAAGCGGCCGAGACTGGCAGGGTGAGCCGATTGTCTCACGTTCGTTCTGTTACAATGGTATAGCTCTGCCATAACATGTTTCTTTCCAGCGCTTGGCTTTTGAGTTCATCTGCCGAGCACCACTCACAAGATCAGCCAGTAGATGTCAATACAAGTAACCGAAAGGATTTTCACATACAATCGATTCTCACTCATACGAATCTGCATAAGATATTTTCAGGCTAATACTTTCTTCTTTTTGCCTGTGGACAGCATTACTCTTGACCATTTTATTTGGTTTATAAGATTTTCACATAATGTGTTTTATTTTCTCTATTCTACGAAAAATGTTTTAGCGATATTTCACTGCATCTAAAGCTCCACGTCCTGCTTGAATTCTGCTGTAAACTGGTTTGGGTTCCTTTGTAGACCTGGCGGATTGTGTCTTCTAACGTTGTGGGCACAAAACCCAAACCTCTGATAATTTAGCTCTTTCGATATCAAATATGACATGGTTGCAGTGGTGTATAAATGCAAGTGGTAGCATGTTGTCTGCCTGTTCTTGTTGTCAAGTCTTTTTTCTTGCTTAGCTCTAAGTGCATGCATTTCACGTTTGACCACACTTTCCCTCTAATGTGTGTGTGCACGGTGATGCAGGTGAAGTGGCGGGTGTACTTCGCCTACTTCGGCGCCATCGGCGTGGCCTGGATGGTGCCAATCGTATTGATGAACGTGGGCTCGCAAGCCTTCTCCATCGGCTCCAACCTGTGGCTCACCGCGTGGAGCAACGACCCTCCAATGCCTGACGGATCGCAGGACCTCGACAAGCGAGACCTGCGCCTCGGCATCTACGGTGCACTCGGCCTGGCACAGGGTGAGTCGCCGAGGGGGAGAGATCGGTTAGAGACAGTTTTTTCGTATAAGCAGCAGTTTAATTTAAAAATTTTTTTGTACTTGTGACGCACCGGCATGATTGTGATGTGCTTAATTGTGGGCCAGACTTGTCTGCATGAGCATTTAGTGTTAGGTACGAACGCTTCTGCGCTTGCCAACTGTGTCCTGCTGGTATGACTTTTAAGGGGGGACGCGGCTTTGGGATCGCGAAAAATGGCAAAAAAATTGATTTTTTTAAACTCAAGTTTTCAGTTTCTGGAACCCTTTTTCTATCTAGTTCCAAAATATCTACACTGAAAACCGCGCAGAAGTGCTTCGGAAAATTCGTTTCACTCACCTAGGTAGCAAAACTTTTTCTGGAAATGGCGAGAAAACAGCGATTTTCAAAAAATTATAGCTTCGCAATGCTTGGGCCGGGAGCCGGCTTCTTGGGCTCATCGGAAAGAGCATTTCTCCGTGTTTAACTTTCTCGCCTCAGCTGGCTCCTCCCTTTAACAACAAGCGAGCAAAAAGCAAATTTTTGAAGGTCGTTTTGAGGCCCTTGATTGGCCGTAGCCGCCATGTTGCCTCAGCTTGCCTCGCCATTGGCCCGATGCTCGCTCCGGGAGATCGTCGTCTGCTGCTTGTGCGTCGCGAGAACATGGCTCTCGAAAATCGCCACTTCGTGACGTGTTCACGGCTTGATAATCATTTAAGATATAACTACGCTTTAGTTACGAGCAGTAAGCGGATGCGCGATCAGGTTACTACGAGCGGGAGCGCGGTCTACGAGCGCCGCACGCCATCGGAGTCGTCTTTAGCCCTAACTCCGCCGACAGCGAGACTGCGGGCAGGAACGATGCGCTAGCGCATTCGTGGCAACATGCTTCTTCGCAAGCAACGAAGCTGTAAGCGGCGGCACGATCTGATTACTACGAGCGGCCGCACCGAATGCACAATCAGATTACTACGAGCGGGCGCGCGGTGGCCTACGAGTGCGGCGTGTCATCGGAGTCGGCTTTAGGCCTAACTCCGCTGACAGTGAGACTGCGGGCAGGAACGACGCGCAAGCGTACTCTTGGCGACGTGCTTCTTCGCAAGGAATGTACCACATCACTCGCTAGCTCCTCTGAATCTCGTACGGGCATTTTACGCATCGGCAGCGGACAAGACAGTCAAGCTCGTCACCCCCCCCCCCCCCCCCCCCCCCTTCACTGCCAAGGATTGCTCGGAACAGCGGCTAGCAGTTCCGCGCATTGTCACACGAAAATGCGATACCAAGCACAGCGCACGCCGATTTTTTGTCTTCGTAGTTACACATTTCGCGCATCGTCATCGAACGCCGCCGGCAAGTGCATTACGCGCCGGCTGCACTGTCCACGCGGCTGCGCACCCCACGGTCATATGGAGTGCTGTCAGTAAACTTTTGTGATGCGATTCAGACGTGCTTGGAGCCGTGCTTGATATCGCCTCGAACGTCTATGATTGTTTCGAGGTTAATGAATTGCTGTAGATTAGAGTTTCCGCGACCGGCTGTATGATGATGCGTTTCACGGCTAGAGCGGCGAAAGAGCATGTGTGAATCAGGGGCATGAATTTTATATTTCCGTTTCGTGTCAATTATACTGCTAGAAATTCCCGTGCCACCAGTTTTCTGCCCATAACTTTGTTATTTAGAAAGAAGGCATAGGCCGTCATGGTGTGATCCATTTTTCTGATGCAATAAACCTCTCTCCAAATAAAAAAAAGTTCAGTGAATATTTGTAATCAAGTACTTAATTACACTAATTACAACTTCAGCACAAAAAAAGTATGTGTAATAATTTCAGTATATGGTTTTATTCAATTACAATCTTTTCTGTCATACCTACCACACCACTCCTTCATACAAAGAACTTGGTTTGAAATCCATACTTGTTCTTTGTAAATCATGAAAAGGAGTAAATCATGAAAAGAAGTCAAATATCACAAGACAAACCTGAGATCAAAATTTTTAGGTGTCTTAGAGACGTAAAGAAAAGTTGAAACTTTACACGCAGCTTTCTCAATACTGTTTTTTTTTTACATTATGTTTAGCCCCTCCACATGATTCAATGAAGAAATAATTTGTTTCTCGTAAAGTATTTGTGGTATCGCTTCAAAATTTTTATGGAAGCACTGTGAGATTATTCTTAGTGTCTGTGCCAATTTTCATCAATATCCAACAAGAAACAAAAAAGTTCATTGAAAAAAGCCTGTCGAAAACTTCGACAGGCTTTTTCTCACAAGTGTGTTTTGGACATTGTGCATTGCTCGTGGAAAGAGTAGCACGAGAATGACTGGACTGATTTTGTTTCTTTTTTTTTTTTTTACTGAATCCCTGAACACTGCTTGTGGGTACAGCAATCTTCAATTTCTGTTTTGTGGCTCTGTTATTTTTCTAGACGATGATTTGTCCGTGCCATTGTTTCTGACAATGTGTGTCGGCAGCCATGATGATCTTTAAAAAAAAAAGAGAACTTATTAAAAAATTCTGAGAGTGCCATACCCTGTAGCTTTCTTTTGAGTAAAGATCAACACCATTCGCAGCTTCCTGGCATGTTTTGTTGCAGCGCTAGGCTTTCCACGAGCAGACCATGTAATTGGATCGTGTAGCATTATGTAACTTGAGAACTACTGAAGCTGTCATGATGAAACTGCATATTTCCCTATTCTAGACACTTATGAGTATGCATGCCAAATTTCATTGGGGTAGGTCAACAAACAAAAAAGGTTTTTTTCAATGCCACCTCCCCCCTTAAAACGTAATTTCTGTGTTCCCTCTTATATCGTTCATGACTGCACACTCAACCTGATTGTCTGCCATTGCATGCATTGTGCACGTGAAGGTGTGACGATCCTCCTTGGCTCTCTGGCGCTGTCACTGGGCAGCCTGAAGGGCGCCATGCTCCTGCACAATGGCCTGCTGCACAACATCCTGAGGTCGCCCATGTCCTTCTTCGATACCACTCCGCTAGGACGCATCGTTAACCGCTTCTCCAAGGTGAGTCAAAGGTCGTTAAGGCCCCTTGTGCTCCATTCCTATCTCTGTGAAGTTTGTGGTTGTACATTCATTATTAGACAAGAAAATCGTCAAAATTTCAGATTGTCAGCTGAATGCATGAGATCGTGGCTTTCTTCCTTTGTAATTTGGTCATGTTAGCTTAATGAAATTTCAAGAAGCTTGCCATGTAAAAACTGGCTTGTGCAGGATGAAAAATTCATTTTAACCTATCAAGGGCTGTGCAGTTTTTAGCAGAGGCTGTTGCTACAGAAGTGTTTCAGCAAATTGGTTAAAAAAACTTTGTAATGGCACCAACATAGTTGCTTTGTAGAAGATACTTTGGAATGAGTTTTCCCTCCACACCACTAAGTCTTTCATTTGACGCTGCTTATTTCGTGCAGTCTCCTTGTGAAATCATTGAATTCCCTATTTGTGAGCATGAGGAACGTCTCTGGGGGCAATTTTTTAAATGCTGATGGCCACTGAGCACCTCGTCACTGAGAACCTCGTCACTGAGCACAAACATTCCTTAACAGTCATCATCATCATCATCATCAGCCTGATTACGCCCATTGCAGGACAATGCCTCTCCCATGTTCCGCCGGTCAACTCGGTCCTGTGCTTGCTGCTGTCACTTTGTACCCGCAAACTTCCTCATTTCATCTGCCCACCTAGCTTTCCTCAACAGTGATGTGTAATGGTCGTATGCTAATACAGTGTAGTCCACTTATAACGATATCGAGAAAACCTAAAAATATGATCGTTATAACCGGTGATCGTTATATCTGGACTGCCGCCAAAAAATCGTCGCCGGACGTACCTTTTGTAGCTCCAGGCTTCATTTCGCTATTTTCACCAATTAATAAATATTGTAGATAGTAGGATGTCAAGAACAAGACTTTATTTCTTACTCCGAAGAACGCATCACGGGTTCGCTGAGGAAGAGAGACTGACCGACGGCGGGATGGGAGGAAGAAAGCACAGCCAGAGGTACACAGCCGGAATGCCAACGAGGCCCCGCCCCGATGCCGCCGCGCCGCTTTGCTTTTCGCTTTTTTTATTTTCTCTCTCTTTCCCGCTTTCGTTCGGCAAGCTACGAGTAGCTTGCCGGCTTGCCGTTGTAGAAGGCGGGGAGCCGCGGAGCGCGGCGCTTTGCTGTTCGCATTTTTTTTTTTAAATTCTCTCAGCCTCTCCGCGGTCGACGCGCGGCGAGGCGCAAAACGTGACACAGCTGGCGCCATCTGTAGCGCGTCGCGCCAACTCGCGATGCTTTCCTCAGCGTTTTGAACGGCCGGGACGCGCTGCCGGCGCTGTGCTGCAGTGGCGGCAGATACGTACTCGCCTACGCTAACTTTTCGTCTTGTCTCGGCATAGTTCGTTTCAGAGGAACTTATCAATCTAAATGTTATGATTATTCTGAATGAAACATGCCGTCCACGGCAAACTTTTCATCGTTGTATCCGATATGCGGTGGATAACATATCGTTATATATGGTTTTTTTTCCCCATAGCCCCAATGCATAAAATGAGACTGTTAAGTCGACCCATCGTTATAACCGATATATCGTTATATGTGGTATCGTTATAAGTGGACTGCACTGTAACAAGTATTGCATATAATGAAGATACAGTCAACGTCCAATTTCCCGGACCCTCAAGGCACCAAGAAAATGTCTAGAAAATCTGGCAGTCCGGAAAATTGAGTGCACGTGAAAGCGCACCTTTTTTACAGGCATTTTTCATGACAGAGAGTCATGACAGGAGTACAGATTTTCATTGCAGTCTAGCAGGTGCACCGTTTAGGTGGGTCTTAAAAGAGATGTTTATTAAAAAAGAAAGAAATGCAACGTAGCAAGCTCTACCTCATTGGTCAACATTTCGGCCCAAAAATGTCGCTTATTTTGCAGGACATTCAGCTTGTTCGTGATGATGTCTGCCTCAATTTCAGCCAAAATCACGCACTTGCTGTACACCTGTGACAGTATCATCAGTGCTCGTGTGAACTCCGAGCTCATTGGCTGTATAGGCGCTGCCTTTTGCCTCTTTGATCTGTGTGTTGGAGTCGTCAGAATCCTCGGAAACGTGACGAATGATTTTGTCATCGGTCAGTTCCGCACACAGTTTGAGGTTTTTTTAATGTCGGCAAAGTCCTCAAAGGTTATCCCAGCTGTAATCGAAACGCTGGGAGCGCGCAGATCACCGAAGGCAAGGTTCAGCGGACAGAAGTTCATCACACACAGTGTCCACTCTTGGGAAGACGGCTGTCTCGGTGAATTCACTTGATGAAAAGCGCAGCACCAAATGGCTAAAAACTCAGTGGATGCGAAAGATCGGGAAACGCCAACGCAGGAGGTAGCGTGCAGAAGCACACAATCTATCGCAGAGCTGATAGAACAACACAAGAACAACACAGTGAGGTTTCACCACAGGTTTCACTAAGCTACGGCTCGCAGCGGATTTGCGTGTGCTACATTGCGGCAATTGCGATTTTGATAGGTTTCTGGGCACAACAGCCTCAACGCAGTGTTGCTTGTCACACCTGCAATTTAAGTATGGTAGGTTTGAGGGTATGAAAAGGACCAAAATGGTGAAATTGACAGTGACTTCGAGTCTGTGTTTAGCGGTAAAAAGTCTGGAAAATGAGATGGCAAAGGCAATAAGCATACGAAATTTCAGACTTATTAATGCATTGACTCTATGGGCAACTTGATGGTGCCACAGACAAGTGCAGGAAATCGGGCATGCCTGGAATTGCGGGCGTGGAGGTTGACTGTATTTTAATGCCATATGCAAATTAACTTTCAGGAGTTTGGACTGTGTGTGAAACACTGTGTTGTGACCACCGCGCATCCATCGTGCAGGATGTTGACACGATGGACCTAGCGATCCCGATGACAGTGCGGTCATGGCTCATGTGCTTCCTGCAAGTGGTCTCCACGCTGATCATCATCACTATGACGACGCCCATCTTCTTGGCTGTCGCGGTTCCCGTGTTTGTTCTCTACTACCTCATACAGGTGAGTACCGCTTTCTTTTTTTTTTTCTTTATCAAGTGCCGCGTAGCAATTCAGTTGTTCTTGTACCACTAAGACCATCGCTCAAAATTCAGTTGTGCGTTGAACTTTAGGCTTAGCGAACCAGCAACAGAGCCTTTGGAGCAGCTTGGGCACTGCACATCTCTCAATGTCATTGGGTGATACAAGCATTAGAATGCTGATGTTATCCCAACTCATTTGCATAACAGATAACAGTGGCAGTGGCTTGCTGTATAGCATGTGCGGAAGCCGAACGTTAGAAGATGCTAGAATTTTGTGTAGAAGACTGAATGCTTTCTAGTGAGCTGCATGCATTAGCCAATGATGTGCGAGATAAGTCATGTACATGCATGCCATCAGGTGTCGCATACTAAAAATGCCACCATTGCGCCACTTAATCATGTTACAATGATGCTTCCACCATTTAACGTTTACTATGTGGTGAGAGGGGAATACGAGATGTGTCCACTGTGCAAGCTTAGGCATCACACATGCAACTAAGTACATGAAAATTATACCAGGCTCATATACACATGTGCCGCTAGCAGAGAAATGCATGCACCATGTGTCATCGATGTCAAGCAACTACACTCGTACCTCATTCTCACATACTTGGATCTTACACAAATATCAGCTCATTGTATTTGAAAATTTGTTATAAAGGTATATTCCTAACACTATGTCTATTGCAAGACTATTCTTCGCTTTACTTCGTTATAACATATATTTCATTATACTGTCAAAGCGTGTTTTAAGTGAATGCTGTTTCAACGAAATTTTCGCTACTATGAAAAAGTCTGGGTTCCCTGTCTGTGGTTGATAAGAGTCAATGCATAAATATTCTCACCACAGCAAACACTTCTGCTGTTCTGCTTCAACGAAATTTTACGATGCAATTCTAGGCTCGAGTATTTAATGCCGTGCAGCAAACAGAATCTTGAACATTTTGATGAATTTTCAGAACATAGAGATACATCTACAAAGTCTAAAACTAGCGTTGGCACCGCCAGAAACCGCCGCTGTTTACTAAACATAGATGGCTGCCATTGCTCGGTAGCAATGGCAATGAGGCTGCCCTGCTTTTGCCACTGGCTTGCTTGAGAAGCCGCAGGCAATCTGGAGCTGAAGCTCGGTCGCTCAGTTCATGGAATTTTTTACACACTGCTTTTTTCTACACGATGCCTATTCCCATGCCAATGCTTCTGGTTGTTTTCGTGCTTGATCAGTGTAGTCACGGGTCAGAGATGATGTTTGTCCGCGTTATCAACAAAATCAGCCAGCTGCGACGAGTAGATAATAAGAATAGCAAAAAATAAGGCATAATTCGTTGCGCCACGATACCACGCCTGCACCTCGGCGTTGTTGGTGCAACTGTTAGGGTCGTTAACGAAAGCCATTGTGGCTGTTGTTTCAGCGTGCTTTTCAGTATGGCGTTACTATGCATGCGTTAGAATCGCGTCACAATTTTGTTAGAAAAGGAAAGCAAGCAGCTGACATTTCTTTAAATTTTGGAAATAAAAGTGCCTTTGCTTTGCTTGCTCAGGACAGCTATACTGTTTTTTTATTTATGTACGTCAAATGTTTTTATGTACATCAAACTTTTTCCACGTTCCGTCAGTTTCGTTATAGCAGGGTGGACTGTACAGCGAAATATCGATACCACAAATTTCAAGGGTCCGCAAAAAATCATTCGTTATTTTGGAAAGTCGCATTGAAAGTATTAAAAATTTGCGCAAAATTCGTAAACGCAATCACGCAAGTTGCTTGACGGTGCTGTGTATACATTCCCTTCCACATTAATCTCTAATATAAGCATGAAAAAACAAACAAACACAAAATACGTTTTTTAGAAGAAGAGTGTGATCTATTCTGATGTGGGCAGCTCGAATGCTGAAAGACATACTCGTAAGCGTGCGCATCCTTCTTGCGCACTATGAAACATCGGCGTTAAATAACGATTCTTCGTATTGGTTCGCGTTTGCCATTTCAACGTTGTCTTTGCTCTCTTCGCAGTTTCTTATCACGACAAATGGTACTAATCTTATCGGTCGTCAGCAAAGCTCACATGCTCGCGTCGTCGTCGCACTGTGCATAGTGTTCAATCGGCAACTTCATCCCATAGGTCACGCGCGTCGCATTTTCCACTGTCGTAGCATTCCTTTCGTGCTGCTTCCGTAGCTCATCTTGAAAGTTCAACCACTAACCAAACCGATAAAAAACAGCCATGTAACAAGCACGCAGGTAAAGCTGCCCAACGCAAACAAAGGTAACGACGCGAAGCCTGACGCAAAATACAAGTACCAGGGCGATGAATGTGACGATAGAGCTGTCGCCCATTTGAATAGAGCAAGCATATAGAGAAATGCGCGAGTGTTCTGATGATGGTGATGATTACAGTGGCAGGCACGAAGCTGGGCATTATTTTTACAGCTGCGAGTAAATTTTTAAAATCGCTATTCGTTATTTTTGAGTGTTGTGGAGATATGAGGGGGAGAAAATTCGATGTTATTTTGAAACTGTCCATGTTCCTAAATTCGTAGTAGTGAGATATTTTTACATTAAACCAGTGGACATTTGGAGGGGGAATTTTGGAAAAGGTTGTTAATGTGAAAAAAATCATTAATCTTAGGTTCGCTGTAACGAGATTTGACTGTATACGGGTTCGTTATATTGAGGTGGGATTGTACGACAGTGACTACCGCCCTGTGCATGCATCATCCGGTGTATAGAAATGCACCATGTAGAGCCTTGGAAATTCGGTGCTAGCGAGCTAGCAGTGTAGACATACAGAACTTTCTCAATAAGTTCATAAAAGGCTGTTCATTCAATTAACACTCAACTGCCCTCGTGCCGTTGTCATCCTTGGCTGTTGCCAGGCATTCTACGTGGCCACGTCCCGGCAGCTGAAGCGGCTCGAGTCGGTGACGCGGTCGCCCATCTACACGCACTTCTCGGAGACCCTGTCGGGCGTGAGCACGATCCGCGCCTACGGTGCCCAGGAGCGCTTTGTGCACGAGTCCAACCAGCGCGTCGACCACAACCAGATGTGCTACTACCCATCCACCATCTCCAACAGGCAAGCGTTTCTCAGGTCTTCTTCTGCGGTCAATATTCAGCCGAGGACGACATTGCCTCATGTTGTAGACTCTCGAAAATTTTAATCACAAAGAGAAGCCACCATTCCATTGCCATTATCAGATACTATCGTAGGTTTGCCGTATATAACTTTGACAAAAATATCGGGAAAAGCAGAGATGACAGATGAGCTTGTGCGTTCTCTCTGTGTTTTTTTTTTTCTGCACGTTCTTATCACTTTTACAAATTCAAGCAAACAGTTGGTGTTATTTTTGGGTTGTTTCTCTCTGCTCATTTTTATCACTTTGACAAGTTCAGACAGACAATTGGCATTACTTCTGGATTTTTAAAAAATAATTGAATGCAAATATTAAGCTGGGAGGAACAAGGCAGCTGATATATCAGGGTTGTCAGTTTGAATGAAGAAGTGATTAAATGCATTGAAAACATAGTAACCTACTGTGAATTGGAGGTTTGTTGAATTTAAGCAGGGTTAGGAAACATTAGATTTTAAATCATCGTTAGTCTACTGTATGTTGGCGACTGTTTAGTATCGGTGAGCCATGGATTCTAAACCTCTTCTGAGGCAGTCACCGTGTCACTTGAAATTTCGCTAGCATAGTGCCGTATATGACTCTGACAAAAATATGAGGAAAAGCAGAGATGACAGATGAGCATGTGCATTCTCTCTGTGTTGTTTTTTTTTTTTTTTTCTGCTCGTTGTTATCACTTTTACAAGTTCAAGCAAACAGTTGATGTTATTTTTGGGTTGTTTCTCTCTGCTCATTTTTATCACTTTGACAAGTTCAGGCAGACAATTGGCATTACTTCTGGCTTTTTAAAAAATAATTGAATGCAAATATTAAGCTGGGAGGAACAAGGCAGCTGATATATCAGGGTTGTCAGTTTGAATTAAGAAGTGATTAAATGCATTGAAAACATAGTAACCTACTGTGAATTGGAGGTTTGTTCAATTTAAGCAGGTTTAGGAAACATTAGATTTTAAATCATCGTTAGTCTACTGTATGTTGGCGACTGTTTAGTATCGGTGAGCCATGGATTCTAAACCTCTTCTGAGGCAGTCACCGTGTCATCGAAATTTCGCTAGCATAGTGCTTATCTGTATACTGTTCTAGTTATCACGAACCATCAGCAACAGCTACCTTTTCTTGCTTTGTAAGATAAGACCATGCTGTGTGGAACTCAACCCTGTTTGTGCCCACACCTGATTCTCAGCCACCACGTTGAAGTCGTTTGAAAGCTTGGTTTATTTTGCCACACGGGAGTACGAAAACACTTGCACTTGAGATGTGGTTTAGACATGAGAATTCTGTTCAGCTTCGATGCAAATTATTATGGCTATGATTATCACATGCATAATTGAAATGGATAGCTGACAGAATCGTCTCTCTTTGCAATTGGGTGTAACTATGTCATATAACGTATAAGTATGTGCTTGGCAAAGATCGCTGTCTGAGCTTGTGCCTTACCTTCTCTCGTTTTGTCGTTCGTGCCCAGGTGGCTGGCTGTGCGTCTCGAGTTCTGTGGCAACCTGATTGTCCTTTTCGCGGCCCTGTTCGCCGTCTTCGGCAGCGATCACCTGGACGGAGGAGCCGTCGGTCTGTCGCTCTCCTATGCGCTTTCGGTGAGTTCTCTCTCTTCCTGTGCGTATGGTTTGCATGGTCGGTAAAGGTCGTTACTGGGTCTGTGCTAGTTTCGAGCACTTTGAATGTTTGAACAAATACTACAGCATTCCAATTCGCTTCAGCGTGATCTTAAATTGTTCAATATTATGAAATACGCTCGTACCTTATTATAACAAAGTTACGCCTTACCCGAAAAATAATGTTTGTTATATTCAAAAATTGTTACAAAGGTTTATTCCTAACACTATGTATTGAGAGACTATTTTTTACTTACTTTATTATAACTGATACTAGACATGTATAATCAGCATGTAATCCCTGTTAAGATGGTTTCACTGTTTTGGAGCCACGCTATACTGTTATTACACCTATTCGGAGGAAATCTGCACTGCCGTGAAGCCTCACTTGATTAAAAGATCATATTACCCTCACATTGATTCATCATTGATCACCGAGCTCGAGTTTCCTCCGATTTCTCAAAAAATATTGTGCCGATTAGTTGGGTGAGGACAAATTTGTTTTTTTTTATAATATACGATATATACTATTCTAACTGAATTTGAAATGATTTGACCAAGTGGCTAGTCATTTAGAATTCGCTTTGAACCTAAAATTTACTCGACACACATGTCTGGTCATTAACTGTTCACAGGCTGCACGTAACTTCTCTTGGGGTCACCTGCATATGTTTTCATTTGCCTTGCCCTGATAACATTGTAAAACAGTTTTTTATTGCTTTTGCACTTTTCTAGGAATTAAAATTCTGGATTGTAACTCTTCACCCAGGCATACTTGCACCCATATGGGATTCGATTAAACCATAAGGAGGCGCCATGAATACTCTCATACCTTACATTTACGTTATTTTACCTTATTATCTATTTTATTACGCTTCGTACAAAGCACATGGATTGAACTATGGACAACAAAACATTTAGCACAACAATTGGTACATGAAATTGCTCAAGATAAGCTTGTCATGTCACCAGGAATCTTTCCATGATGTTGGCTCTGGTGTAAGTGTTCACGCCTGTATGACACAAATGAAGGAGCGAGTGGAAATGAAAGTTTGTAGTAAATTGTCACATTTCAATCATTGAGCACAATTTTAGCTTTTTTTTTTTTTTCTTTAAAGGTGGTCCAGCACTGATCAACCACGTGCCAGAGTCTGAAAAGGGGATCTGCAGTATTGATTAATCAGTTAGTCAATGAGTTCATTTGTGTTAACTCTGTTGGAAATGAATGTTTCAGATATTCACACAAACCTAGAGCTAGCACTTTTCCCGGTGGCCGAAGGACATCTCTGCTGTGTGTATGAGCTTACATGTGACCAGGTTGTCTGATGTTGGGATGCGTTTCGCTCACCCAGATTACGGCCACCATGAACTGGATGGTGCGCATGAGCTGCGAATTCGAGACCAACATCGTGGCCGTCGAGCGGATCATGGAGTACACCCGGTCGCCCACTGAGGTCAGTGCCATTGTGTTCAACTTGCAACCTTTCTTTTCTCCAACTCGAAAAATTGTCGAAAAATTGACTGACATGCTCACAACCCTTATTGTATTGCACAGGCAGTAAGCGCAAAAACATTTTCGACGAAGTACGATACGGATGCAGATGGGCACTACTGTGCCCACATTTAGAGTCTATGTTCATGTTCGTACTAGTCTAGTGCCTGTTTGTGTATATATCCACTGTAAGCTCCTCAAGCAAGCACCCCTACCTGAGCAAGCATAGCCTTCACCTTTTTGGGAGACTTGAAATATGCTCCGGTAATCAAACAAGCCTCTCCCCCTCCCGTGACTTTGTCAACTTGTTCTCCACTGCAGAATAGTACAGCGGCAGTGGCTCCCAGAAACCCAAGTTCTGAGGATCTTTAAGTATGTGCATGATTTCTTGTTGCTTTTACAGTGTAGAGCCTCGGGCTTACGTTCAGTTCAGTTGTCACAAATTCCCAAGAGCATCTTTACCACCTTCTCATAACATGTAAAATCTCATGCGAGGATTCCCCCGGTCCAGTAGAAACAGTGAATTCACACATATTCATTAAAAGCGTTTTGAGAGAAACACAGGTGTGCATTCTTCTTAGAGGCTCTTCCGCCACCATCATGAATTTTGGTTCGGGACTAAGAAAGAGGGTGGCTTGCTGCAGATTTTATGGTGCACCGTATTTACCCGCAAAATAGGAGCACTTCTTTCTTTTTTCCTGAAAATTCGGCACCGAGTTCGCGGTGCACATATTACAAGGGGTAAAATTTAAAATATTTTATTTCTGACTGCAGCATTGACCGCTGATAACGTGGATCGCCGAAGTCTACAAATATCCGCTCTACACTGGCGCAGAACGTCTCGAACATGCAGTCTCGCGTGTCCAAGAGTCGAGGCATGCGATGGGGGGTGCTTACAAGCATTGAAATTTCCAAAAATTAGCATTGAAAGACCCTCATTGCCGGCAAAATGAACGAAAAAAAACTGCAAAAATAAAGTGCCATCACGGAAGTTTGTCGAATACGTCCCGGGCGCCACCTAGATTATGCGCATTATCAAGACCGAATTTCGCGTGCTGAGCAGTACCGACCATTCGTTCGATTTCACAGGCTTGCATGCAATGTTCAAGGACATTGCGATCGAATCACAAACTACAATTCGAGCGTTACAAGCACCAATCATGCCCCCTTTCTTTCAAATATAGAGCTACCACTAAGAGATATGTTGATTCCGTTCACAATTGAACATTTTACAAGACGTCAAGATTGGGCATTGAAAAGATCGCACTCAAGCACTGATCCAAGAGTAGCGCGCATGATACGATGTATAAGTTCGCGGCCGGAAAATCAGCTGGGACAAAAATCCACCAAGCTTGTGCAAGCAAACGTAGTGGCAGCAAAGGTGAAAGGTCAAGTCGAAAAGCCGAAAAGCTTTTAGATTTACCCACGAGGTAGTCAACACAAAAACGATGACGCTTTTTTGTAGCAGGAAACGCAAAGCGCAGTTGATGACTACTCGATCGCACGTTCCATGCGGAGCGCGCGCAGCGGATGCTACATCGGCGCCGATCCAAAGGTTACCCCGAAGCCCAGGCAACCGCCCTTCTTTCTTACTCGGCGAGCCCATGCAGCTGGCGCAGTGCAGCCGCAGTCTTTTTTTCTTTTCTTTGCCCTCGCACCAGTTAACATAAGAGGACGTCGAATTATGACCATGCAAATACAGCGCACAACTACTGATCACGACCAAATTTGCGATGAGTCTTTTATGCGCCGAAAAAAAAAAAAAAAAGAATCTAATTTCTCGCAGCCAAAATGGGGGTTGGCCTATTATGCAAGTAAATACGATATTAGTTTGGCATCTTTCTATGTTTGTGTCCTTATGGATTAACACCTCTCTGTATGTGTTCATAAAAGTTAGTGTCAATCTATGTTTGTGTCCATGTTTTTTGTTTGTACTATACAAGACTGGAACATCCTGCCACCTTAAACTGTCTGTATTTATTCAAATGACGTTTCTTGTTTTCAGGCTTTATGAATGTATTATGTGCTTATTTATGTGTAATGTACCTTCTCTGCTGTATGTCCTCTTGGCATAGCAAGTACTTAGTAAATAAGTTAAATTAATAAATATTAGTTTAGCATATGTTTGTGTTTGTGTTCATTATAGCATCTGTTAGTACTTGTGTTGGTATAGTTTAGTGTCAGTGCGTCTATGTTACTGTCCATGTTTGCGTCCATAGTCCGCATCTGTCCATATTGGTGTCCACGTCAGCTTAACATGTGTCCATGTTTGTGTCTGTATTAGTTTGCTACCTGTCTACGTCTGTGTCCCTATTTATCATCTGTCCATACTTGTGTCCCCATTCGTTTAGCATCTGTTCGTGTCTGTGTCCGTATTAGTGCAGCATCTCTCCACACCTGTCCGTATTCATCATCTGTCATATATGTGTCTGTATAAGTTTGGCATCTGCCCACATTCGTGTCCGTATTTATTTAGCATTTCTTTCATTTTAGTGCTCGTATTACTTTAGGGCCTGTCTACATGTGCCTAATTTTTTCTGGTTGAAAATTCACGGGCAATGATGGTTGATTTGGGGGTGCCAGTCTACTCGAATCCATACATTGTTGTTTTTCAGGCGGCATGGGAAGTTCCGGATCACAAGCCTGCTGCTGAGTGGCCCAAGGATGGTGAAGTTCAGTTCCAGGACTATGCAACACGCTACCGTGAGGGCCTGGACCTCATCATCAAAGACATCACAGTCTCTGTTGCTCCTGGCGAAAAGGTGGCTTTTCATTTGAGACATTTTTCAAGTTATTTTGACCGCACATCATGTACAGAGAACAACACTTTCTTGGCATACCTGGTGAAATGCTAAATGCGTAGTTCGTCACTAAAAAATGTGCAATCAAAAAAAGAAGGCGAGGATGGCGGCGCGAACGGCACGAACTAAAGTCATGTGTCAGGACACAAAGCATATATACTGACAAATACAACAGATGCGCCTAACACCACAAACCTAGCTAACAGGACAATTAATGCTGAAAAAATTTAGTCTCCAAAGGTTCTATGCTATCCTTTATTTATATTTGGCAGCTTCTCTACAATTGATTTAATATAATTGTCGTTACTATTGTGATGTCTTTTAGACAGCATGAAAAAGGGCTTCCTTGTGTGCACAAACTTCCTATTCAGAACACTGAAGTTTCAAGACCTAAGGTTGACTTTCAGCAAGAGGCATGTTTCCCGGCAGTGCCAGGAAGGGAGTAGTGCCATGCCACTTGGCCACCTCGAAGTTTATGAAACAAAGTGTCTTCCTATCACTTGCTCTCTACTACAGGTTGGCATCGTGGGCCGGACCGGCGCAGGCAAGAGTTCGCTGATGCTGTCCCTCTTCCGCATCATCGAGCCTGCCCAGGGCACCATCCTGATCGACGGCGTCGACGTCACCAAGATCGGCCTGCACGACCTCCGCTCCAAGCTGACCATCATACCACAGGCAAGTCCACTTCGTGGCTACTCTCGTTGACACAAGGTAGTCTCGATTAGGAGGTGTTTGCCGACTACAGTCTATTATGGTGATAATCGATCTCTTTTTGGTCTAAAAAGGGCTTCGGTTTAAAGAAGGGGACGACATGTCACGATGGATGCTTGCCTCACATCTAAACTACCTATCTGTGAGTAGCAGGTGCCAGTCTTGATCATTGTCTCGGGTGACTGGCTGCGAAGGTGATAGTGTGTGCTCTCGAGTATTTGCACCGAGGATCTCTTTAACGTGGAAGCATCATCTGCGCGCTCGCCAATACACCTACATCATTCCCACTTTTGAGCACCCGGGTCATTCATGTACTGATTTGTTCTTAAATCGAAACAGAGAGCCATATTCATATTGAGCATTTATCCTAATCAGTTTCCAAGTCTCGGACAAGTCCATCTTGTCAAGACTCACTGATTTGCCACATAGACCAAATAATTCTTTTCAAGTCTTTTAAAATTGCCCTGCACCTGTTTTTGAAGCATATGTGAAATTGACTCTCGAAAAGAGCCTATTGTCTCACAAATTCATCGCTGCAAAAATTTTCAGAATCCTTCCAGTATGAGTGAAGATAGAAAATTTATTGCGCATTGCAATTACCTTTCCTCTTCTCTCGTCTCGACGAAAGCACTGAAAGCTAAGCAGGTGGAATGACACGGGGAGAAGAAAAACGTCTTGCAAGCATCGTGACCTTGGGCAGTTTTTTTTTCTCCCTCTCTTTTTTTTTTTTTTTTCGGATATGCTGTTTTTCAGTGCGATGGCAAGCACACGCATAGACAAGTCACGACCTCCCTCGGCAATCCTTGTAACGACAGAGCGCGCCATGTTCAAATCGGCCAATGGCTGATACAACAGGCGGTGAATAGTGATTTTTGTTTGAGCTTCTTCCATCATTTATCAAAAGAAGAGGAAGCCGTTTTAGATGGCTTTAAGAATTTATTTGGAATTCCAGGCCACGTGCTGCACTATGATACTTGGCTCGCCTGTTCTCGGGAGCCTGTACAGTAAAACCTCGTTGTAACGAAGTGAGATATAACAAACTAATAGATTTAACGAAGCAATTGTAATTCCACTTGAAATTTCCATAGATGCCAATGTATTTAAAACCTCATTTTAACGAAGCAAAAATTTCTTCACAATAGATATAACGAACCATTCTTCGTCTGCAATGAGCATTTACTGATCATTTTGGTATACGTCAAATCAATATCTTAGAGTGCGGGACGGTTTACGTCTCATCACGGCTGCAGTAATTAAAAACTCCCGCCTTGCGCTCCCCGGAAGCCGCCTGCGGTCTGCCAAGACGCCTGCGGGAGCGAGTCTCCCTGCCTCCCCTTTCCTCAGGAACTAATGGACTTGCCCGCGCAGCAACTCCGCGATCGTGCTCGTCACCCGGCCTCCCCTCTCCTGTAGAACTCGACCCGCTCCCCACGCATCTGACCTTCACCTCTTCAGTTCCGCGCCGGGGTGACAGAGATCGTGGCGATCGTCCTTGACGTTCGCCGTGGAGGAGCAACACCACCTCTATCAGTTTCTGCCGCTAGGCACGAGATGGACAATGGCAGCAACAAACGTAATCGCAAAAATAAACAATCGAGCAGAAGGCGGCATTGTTGAAAGCCGTTGAGTCTGGCGTCAAGAAAAAAAAAGTGGCTGAAGATTTCGGCGATGTCGTTCGGTGCTGCAGGGCGACCAGGCCCAGACCTTGTAGGATGCTCTTCTTGACGACGACATTGTGCCTGACTGCAACACTTTCTGCGTGTACATTGGTGCCGATGCTGACGCAGGGACAACCGAAAGTTGTCAGATGCGGAAATTGTGTGCGTGGAAACAGTGACGAATGTGTCGACACCCCGGAGCCTAATGTTGGCGAACCCGACACCAGCGCAAGCGCTGGATGCGACAGACCTGCTCTGCTCCTTCTTTGGTGCTTACGATGACTGGCGAGGACAGACTCGAAATAGCTGCTGCAGCTGAAAAAGCAGTCATCTGCATGAGGGAAAGTCGGCAAAATCATTAATATTAAGAACTATTTTTCTTTGAAGTGATCTGCCGGCTGGTTTGCTGAATTCGGTGGAAATAAAGTGCTTTGTTCATTGTTATTTTGATATTTTTTGCCTTCTGACGATCGTTTTTCTCTGCGCGGCAAGCTGCTGTGATATTCGTTGGTGTGTACATTCTCTCTTGCTGGCTAATTGCTGGTAGAAATGGGTATTGGCTTTAACGAACTAATGGTCATAACAAAGTAATTACGACTCCGCCTTCAACCTCGTTATAACTGGTTTGACTGTACTACCAATCGGCAGCATTTTCTGACCATGCTCAAAAAGTGCTGCAGGGCCCCCTTAAGATTGAAGTCCTGGGAACTATGGAGGCTTGGAAAAATTATTCAGCTGGTAATGTTGTGGCAGGGAACATTTCAACAAATGAACACACATCGTCACGGCAAGAACCCAAGGTTGCTGCCCTGATGAAGATATTGTTGAAATGTTGGCTCTATTGACATTCTCTGTTTAACTATCTCTCATCATTCCAAGTCCTTCAAGTTCTCTGAAACTTGCTAGCTTTTAACATAACCTGTATCATCTACTCTGGACTGTCTTTGGAATACCTTAGACAGATTTTAATGAACTCTTTGTCACCTTATGCTCCTTGTGTGCGATTCAAATGTGTCTCATCTGGGGACATGTATTTCAAATAAGAAATTATTCTACGTAGAAGAATGGTTCAATAGTGAAGTTTGAACTGCTACTTTTCTGAGGAATGTCTTCCTTTTTGCTGCCGCAGGATCCGGTGTTGTTCTCCGGCACGGTGCGCACCAACCTGGACCCGTTCAAGTCCAAGAGCGACGAGGACATCTGGGCAGCCCTGGAGCTCTCGCACCTGAAGAACTTCGTCTCGGGTCTCGACCGGGGACTTGAACACGAGGTGCAGGAGGGCGGCGAGAACCTCAGGTTGGTTCTTCATCCACAGTTTCAACAGCCTGTCCATTTCTAAAGTTTTAAATGCAAAGCACTTAAGTCAGGTGTTTGCCCTGTTGCGGTGGTCCAGTAGCTAAGGTACTCTACTGCCGACCTGCAGGTCGCAGGATCAAATCCCGGCTGCGGCGACTGCATTTTTCGATGGAGGCAAAAATGCTGTAGGCCCACGATGCCTTTTCCGATTCCGATGTTTATCATTATGTTGGCACTTGGCCAGTGTGGTAACCTATCAGAGCGGCTGTTCGTCCGCATTATCAACAAAATCAGCTAGCCGAGAATGATGGATGATAAGAATGGCGTAGAATAATGCAAAAGTCACCGCTCCACGATACCCTGCCTCCATCTCGGCGTTGTCGAATACTTTTTGACAGCGGACAGCTGCTGGTGTTAACGTGTTAATGCAACTGTTTGGTTTGTTCACGAAGGCGGTTTTAGGCGTTGTTTCAGCGTGCTTTTCACCATGGCCTCGCTATGCATGGGTGAGAATCATGTCGTGATGCTGCTGGGAAAGAATAGTAAGCAGCGGACACCTTTTTAATCTTAAGAATAAACGTTCCTTTGTTTTGCTAGCTCAGATCAGCTATATCTTTTCGATTTTACTACAACGAAATTTTCGCTTCAACGAAACATTATTCGCGCCCCGTGAGTTTCGTAGTAGCGAGGTTCGACTGTAACCGTTATATCCGGGTTCGTTATATCGAGGTTTGAGTGTATCGCAGAATTTAGTGAAACCTTACAGTGTTTACATTCCCATATTGTAAGTTTTTTCACATTTTCTGGCCCATTGTTCTCGCTAATGGACAGTTGTATAGCCGTGTGAACCACAGCTAGTCAGTCTCATCTGCAAAACTGAATTGTTGTGTATCCCAGACGTTAAAAGGCCGCTACGTCACCAGTGATAGGCTTCATGCAAAGATACAGATAACATGCAATAAGTCTTTGTTCCTACCAGCCACTTTATACGTGTTAGCTGCCGTTGCCGATTCGCAAGGAGCGGCAGTGATGCTGGCTCTCACGAGAAGCCGCTGCCAACACAAGCACAGATGTTGTTCTGGTACTGTGTCGGTTTGCGATATTTTGTCAGAGCCATTTTCTTAGGCAAAGAATGGGTATTAGAGTCCGAAAAAAATGCGGTAATTCTGACGTTCACGTTCGCCATGCCTGTTTCAGTTCTGTCACCTTGCTTTCGTATTCTGGGAAAGAAATTTCTGCATGTGCTTTAATGCTGTATTTGCACAAGCAGTCAAATTGCTATTCAGACCTGCTTGCGTATCACGTGACCACAAGTCACCCTTTCCTTGCTGCAGCCCCTTCAGCCTTCACGAAGTGATTAATGAAATGAGACTGAAATCACAGTTGGGTTCTTTGCCAAGAAATATTGAAATCCTCCTCTTTCGTGTTAATGGGGACAGCGGAGTGATCCCAAACGCATCGTGCGTCACATGACCAATCTGCTTGCTGTCACGTGCATCGCGTGAATACAACTTTACCGGGGAACCTACGTTGCTCGCTAAAGACGCTTCCACAATGGCGCAGTGTGGGCCAGCGTCAGTTGCTGTGCCTGGCACGAGCGCTGCTGCGAAAGTCCAAGGTGCTCGTGCTGGACGAGGCGACGGCCGCCGTAGACATGGAGACGGACTCGCTCATCCAGCAGACGATCCGACGCGAGTTTGCCGGCTCCACCATCCTCACCATTGCGCACCGGCTCAACACCATCATGGACTACGACAGGTTGGTGTGGCGTCGCTTCATTGACCCGTTGTGGTGGTTTTGGCAGGATAAGGTGTCGTGCCGCTGAGCCTGGGGACCCCAGGTTTGATAACTAACCACAGGGTGCATTTTAAGTTATGGTGGTTGAGATACCTAACTGCTGGCCTCTGCAAGGGATGGCACATATTCACATTTCTGTGCCATATATCCATGTCCACAGTGGTCGACAGATTGCCACCTCAGACCCACACATGCTCTTGTTACAGTGTAATCTCGATACAACGAATCTCGAGGAACTGATAAAAATTATTTGTTATTTTAAAAAGTTGTAGCGAAAGTGTTGGGATTTCGGGTGATTTTGAAAAGTCGTAGTGGAAGTGTTGGAGTTTCGCATGATGTAACACTGAAATCAAGCTGCGCGCTTGAAAAATAAAAAAAGAAAAGAACGTGCTCGAGGTCTTGACGTGCGCTGATGAAGAGATGAGCTTTCTAGCCCCTGTCTTCCCCTCCCTGTGTAGAGAGAAGGAAGCTTGAAGCACAAGAGAAATACCTGTGAGTCCGCTCGTAATCGGCAGACTCTAGAAATTTTCGCAGCGCGAGATTTGTGAAGCATCACGCGCCAATAGCGTGGCGGTTCGGTTTTAACTCAAGGGGAGGAAAAAAAGTGCTGCAGAGCCTCTTCGAAGAAGCCTCGGGTTGTCGAAATTTCTGGAACCCACCGCTGCGACATCCCTCATGATTTATTGCAGATTCCACATACACAATGCCAGCGGTTACCTTGCATGCCCCTCTTTTCATCAGCACCGCACGCCCAGTTGTCCCGGATGACGAATCGCGCGCATGCTATCAGCGTGACTGCCGTTCTTGATGGGAAAGTGGCGAGCGCCAAGTTTTCAAGAAATGAAATGAGTTTTCATGCAAGCGGATGACAAATATTGTTTGTTGACACAAAGACACCCTTCTCTCATGTGCTTTCTTTTTCTTAATTGGTGTAAACGCACACCAAAGAACCCTAAGTAGTCAAAATTTGTAGTAACCCACTATGGATTGCCTCCTTCTCATATTACAGTTTTGAGATGTGAAACCGCAGAATTGTCTCTTTTTGGGGGGTATGAAGTTTTTTGAGTCCCACATATACGAAACATGCTGATGTAACTCATTAGTAATGATTAAGTCATGATGATTAATTCGTAATCTTCATATTCCTGCTTTTATTTAGAATTCCATTGATAAGATATCACATGCTTGACCGTGATGACGATTTGCCATTTCTATATTGGAAGTCTGAAATGCAAGCTAGTACTGCCAAAAAGAAAAAGTCGAATTATCCAATTTGTAAGTGGTTGATTAATCAAAGTGACAAAGTGGCACTCTTTTTACGGGGCACTTTAATAACAAGAGTGCACGGCAATGTCCCTGTTTCGAATGGAGGGGAAGGGGGGATGGTCAACTATTCTCAAATCACGTTTTATATGTGCTGTCTTGCACTTTTTATGACTCTTACGCGCACAGCCACATCGGCGTGTTATGTCTGCCAAAAAAAAAATATGTATCAAATTAGCTTTCAAAATGCGAGTTCTGGGATAGATCTGTCGAGACAGGCCCTACTGGCCTGTCTCGACAAGGAAAATGTGTGGTGCCCATTGACTGTTATTAGCACAGTGCTCAGGAATAAGTGTTGCATCTTGTTATTTCACCACTCCCGTGAATCGGTCGCATATGCTTATCGTGTTACATTGAGGCTGTACCATACTTTTCGGGCAGTGTCGCCAGTGTTATCTTATGTTAGGCGCTCGACATTGCACTTGGTGAATTGATTTAAAATCATGATGCAATGGTGTAGTTAACGTGTCGGTTCAACATTCGGTTCTTTTGTTTGCCAAACATGTTAAACTTCCGTGTCATGGCTAATTCAATTGTCCTGCTGTCAATTTGTGCTTGTACTTACATATCAATCAGTGTGCTTAATAGTTGTACTTAATGAGTCAATTTAAGGTCATGATACAGTGTAGTTTACTTGCATTGGACAAATTAACCTAATAATTATCATGATGATACAATAGTATCAAACATTTCTTTCTTGATTTGTTGAACATGTTTAACTTCCATGCTATAGTTAACCAAATTACTTTGTAATCGATTTATATGCATGCACTTTAAGATCACCAAGCTGCCGCATCTTCCCTCAACTGTTGGTCAATCAACCAATTAATCGACATGCGCAGAATCCTGGTGCTGGAGCAAGGTCGGGTGGCCGAGTTCGACACGCCGGCGAATCTGCTGTCCGCCGAGAACTCCATCTTTTATGGCATGGCCAAGGACGCGGGGCTGGCCTGACCGACGATACACAATTAGCCTATGTTATAATTAATATTGTTATTACAATGATGCACATCGTTCACCACCACCCTCCTTAGGACCCTACCTCCTTCTTTCCACAGTCACGGCACAGCCTTTCCCTTTTTCCTCGTCTCACCGACCATACTGTCGGCACTTGAAGCGTGCCTTAGATGGCAGCGGCTACCTCATAACGAAGCCACGCCAGTTTACCTTATAAATTTTTTTTAAACCTAAGTGCGAGCTCCTCTTAGCACGTCCACACGCGTTTTGCTTCGAAGCAGCTTAGTTTTTACGCCGCCGGCAAGCTTCAAGCTTTCTCGCCTCAGGATTGCACTGAGTGAAAGTTTTCAGTTCGTCTTCTTTTAATCCCCTACTCCTCTCCTCTGAATTGCCGTGTCCTCAGGGTTTCAGCTAAAGCTGTGAAAAGGCGGGGTCCGTGCCATTTTAGCACGTTGTAGCCCGCCCCGACGAGTTTATGTAGTGTGTTCTGACCAGCGTCGCGGCCTGCGGAAGTGCCGAAATGCATCGCAAATGCTTTCCCGTGCTAGGTTGGGGTAGCGTCTTAGGAATCTCGGAGGGCAAGGGAATAGGAGTATGTGACAATTTTTAACAAACACGTCGCTCGTGAGTAGCGGCCGATTCGTACCAGTGCCCCAGAGCTTCGCCGCTTCTTGAAGTTCAGTTTCGAACACACCTTGGTTGAGCGACGGGGTTTTGAGAATCTCGGAAGGAATATAGTACATTTGTAAAGGCTTTTGTAGCGTACATTTTCTTCTCGTGGAATAAACGAAAACAATTTCGTCATTTATGACAAAAAAAGTGATGGTATACACTGGTCTTGAAGGCGACGAAGCGTCACATTCTCGACATTCTTGGGAACTACGCCGCTCGTCTGCATTGTGACAATATGTCGATTTCCGCTAGTCTTCATGCGTTCTCTTAATTTGATTGAGTGATTGTGCGACATTTGTACTTTAGGATGGCCATCAGGCAGTATATCGACAGCAGTTACTAGACAGTAGATATTAATTTGGCTTCCTGCTATGCTACATCCGGGCTCAGAGAGCCAATGTTTTGTCGCTAGTGCCTGAGGCGTTGCGTAGGCGCTGTTCGATTCCTTGTCCGTAACGTTGTAATAGACATGTATGGGCACAGCGTACGTTCGGTGCATTAAATGGCAAATAACTAAAAAACCTTAATTCAATTTACAAAGGAGTGCTAAAGGCACTGCTTATGAGGGCCATCTATTAGTGTCGATTTTGAGTTTGCCATAAAAGTTTTCTGTATTTGTACGTGATCTATTGAATGACCTATTATTGGCATTTCACAAGTCTTCATCTATGCTTCTCTGGCCTAATCTGACTTAAGTTCTCGTTAGTCGCAAGGTCTGGCTCAAGAGATCTACACAGTGTGGAATCTTCCTTGCAAGCACCACCTATCGTACTTGGCTAGAACCCACCGGGAAAGTGTGTTGATGTTGAGCTGGTGTTGGAAGTTGCTGCATAATACTGCCTCACAGTGTTGGGACTGCACCTTTGTGGCCAGCATGATTTGATTGGGTGTATTAATATTTTACAAGCTGCTAGAAAGACCATGCAGGGTTATTAGGTGCCGAGAGTCTTGTGCCATTATTTGTTCATTTTGAAAAGCTAGGAGTAGGTGGGGTGCGAGGGGGGGGCGGATGTCATTAGAAAGTTTTACTACAGCGTACGTTGTTCACAGTGTTTCACGCATAAGAATGCTGCGTTTTGTGTACTGCGCAAGAGCAGAAGTTCTGCGCACGCTTTCTTTGCAAAATGTGAAGTTATGTATGCTGCTACAGATGCTGCGTATCCAGTAATGAAACTTTCTGTTGACATGACAGAAGGTAGCATTGTTATCAGTCATTTGAAGGCCTGCTATTGCACCTTGTTCAGTATCTGCTTGGGCATTAACTCGGTCATCATACATCGTTGGGACTTTGTAAACTCTAAAAGTGAGAAACATTTCTTTGTCCTGATGTGGTGGTATAAGTATACATTTTGCAATGAGGATTTGAAAGTATGTTGCGTTAGCTTCCTGTGCTACCTTTCTTTCACTAAATGTCCCAACTCCTTAATAATTTATGGTGTCACAGATGTTTGAAGGGGCGTCTGCGTTATCAACTGCCATTCATTGAGCCATTTATTGTATCTATTCGTTTTTCTTTTCTTTTCAATCCTTAACATACTACCCCACGCGAACAAACAGAAGTCATAAACTTGTTTGATAGTAGCTGCTGCATGTTTTCATTTTCAACATTACATCATTGCACTATTCACTTTATGCAGCTGTATGTGTGTTCACTACTGTTGGTATTTGAATAGGCTGAGAAATGTTTCACTCTGCACTTCCACAAACTGTCTGTGCACGTGCTTGTCTTTCTTCTTTTTTAAGCTGTTTTGCAATGTCAGCTATTGAAAAAATTTTGATGTCTGTCTTAAGAGAAGTTTATATCGTCACGCGTTTGTGACAACACAGTTTTTGTAGGTTTTTGTGAGTGGTAACAGTTTTTGTGGGTTGAACCCGATCACATAAATATAGGGAAATAAGGGCACATGGCAATATGGTATACTGCTGCTACTGTTCTCTAATGAGTGGGTTATTTTTTTATTATGGTTTGGGGGCTCTTATCAGCTTTTTACTAGTGATTTAAATACTTATACGCAAATCTCGTCAAAATTTTTTTTTTGTTCAACTCAGGGCACTGCTTGCTTGATTCACGATTGCTGAAATATGTGGTTAGAAAGCCTGAACTTGTTTTGAAATCCTGCTTTGGTGTTTTTGTTCAGAGGTTTCCCGCGATTGTGAATTTATACCGAGTCAAATACGTTGCCTTTGGCGGCTTCTTCATCTACACTTAGCTCGTTCACCTAATAATACGCATTGTAGCAAAGTAACTTTATGCATAAGACGTTCAATCGTATAACTTTCCAGTTCCCAGGAAGACTTGTGTACGAAAAAAAATCCCTGAACATCCATTGCAGATGATGTCATTTTTTGAACTATAGGCACCTCTAGCATTGTCAAAGAGAAGGGAAAAATACGAAGCTATTTGAAGGGTGTCAAGAAGTGCTTTCACACTCAATGTGTATTTCCATGAGCAATCAGAGTGTTTGCAGGTTGAATAGTTTACACGATCTGCGGATCACATGAGACGGAAGTATATTTGATCGAATCGGCCAGTGTCACTGGTGTATTTCAATAGGAGACCTAAAGGGACACTGAAGTTAAGGGTTGAATAATTTTAGATGGATAATTTGTAGTCTGAGGGCTCACATGCCGTTAATTCTATCATCTTGTGTTTATTAACAGAAGAGAAAATGAAGCTCAAGATTTCGTTTCAGAATATGACACCTAAGCCTCAGTGCATTATATCACCCATTTTAGTCTTTTTCTTTATTTTGGTTGCGTTGGTTGTACGAAATGTCCTGAAGCCTGGTATGTTAAGCCTACGGTACCCTCAGGGAACAATACACTTAACCTTTGCCAGTTCGGAACTATTAGACTCCATCTAAACTTTTGCCGTGATGGCATGTGTTGCTGGAACATCAAGATAGCATTGCCACCCACTTTTGCTTTTCACGCATATTCTCAGTAACGAAAGGTCTTGCAGTAAGAGTGGTGTTCTCAGTATTGCAAAATAATAATTCACTGATACACGAAAAATCCCCCTTTAGTGTCCCTCAAGCCGAGCAAAATTTTTGAGTGGGCGCGCCGAGTGCTGAAGACAAACCGTAACGATGCTGGTCGCGCAACTTTCAAATGCAGCTATACAACACTGCGCGACGACTCAGTGTCTGTATACATCTTTGAAGGGACTTGTACTTGTGCATATGAGAAATTTCTACCTTCCGGCCACCTGTATTTTTTGTATTCTAAACTGCCACTGAAGGATCGTTTTTGCAAGCAGAACAAGGGTATTGCGAATGCATCTTTCTTCTCTTTTTGCAATCGCTCGGATGTACATGTATAAATATTATGAAATATTTAATAACCATTTTCTCGCGAGTACACGTGCTAGATGAAAGTAGAGAGGGCTGCTTGTGACGGAGCCAGTGTGATATCTATTTCGTGTACTTTGTACTATAGGTAGTTTTTAGGATGTTTGTACCTTATTGTAGTATTCAGGTCGCAGACCAGCATGTTGCTGCTGTACGACGCGCCATGTGTGGTGGAGGCACAAACGTCCCCTTCTGTCATTTTTTTACGACACTTGAAATAAAATGACATTTTTCATGAGGTCTGGCAGAAGTGTTTTGCTTGTGTTTTGAGCATTCATACTTGTGAAGCGAGGTTGGCTACTGGGGGACGTCGGATCGTTGCTGATGTCGTTGACGAGATCCTGCGCCTGTCTGCCTGCAAGATCTTACCATTTTGTGTATTACCTGTAATGATTCATGAATTCATTTTCAACCCTTTCTCTCAAAAAAGTGAATCAGTTTAATAAGCAAGGCACCCCTCGATTCATGGCCTATCCCCCAGAGTGGGTTGCGCCAACATGTTGAGGAACCAACCAACCAATTCCGCGATGCGACCCCATGTCAATCACAGACGAATGGCCTCGTAGAGCGGACCGACAGGACACTAATGAACATGTCAATTTATGTTGACACTGAGCACAGTACTGCTCTTCCTCACCTACGCATACAACACCGCGAAACACGAGACGACAGGATACTCTGCCTTTTTTCTGTTGTACAGCCCACTCCCTTTGCAGCTGTCTCGACTACATCCCGCCCTTTATGTTGGATGTGGAAACTTTGGTTGCCGAGTCACTACGCCACGCTAAAGAAGCCGTCGCATCGCAAGCCTCCAAACCATCGCATCTCTACAGCATCCAAGATCCGGTACGACGACCACCATCGCTTCATTTCTTTTGGAAAAGGTGACCTTCGCTAATTGTGGACGCCTGTCTGCAAGTTCTTGGCCCACAAGCACAAGTGGCTCATACACACGACAAAATGTGTGTAAGGGAAGTAAGTGAAAATTTTTGTGAATCGAATGCCCATTTAGTGTGCTAAAGGCGAGAGAGTTAATAAAAGGGACAGTGAAGTCAAATAACAATTTATGTCAAAGTGAAAGCTCAATGTATGACAGTATCTAAAATGATATTAGCCCTTTATTGACGAGTGTTGCCCACTGGCAACATACAGGAAATTTTTTTTTGAAGAGTTTCGGTTTCGGGGCACTTCATTGTTTTGCAAAGTACTGCCAACAACCATGTTCTATTATCGTGTGATGTCCCTCCTGCAGCAAGTTGAAATTCGAGGAGGAGGAGAAAGAAGTTCGGCGCGTGAATGGCTGCAGAGAGTGCGATGACATCGCATAATGCCTAGTTCACACTGAAACATCAGCTTTCTACAGCGACCGAAATTCCCCTGCCGCCGAAACGCAGCGTCGCTCGCACTGGACGCGCCCCGCGCCGCCGAATATGACATCTACTACGGGGCGAACGCAGGATGAATGCGCTGTCACCCGGTTGTTGTCGCGGCTTGCAAACGCTACTACGCTATCCGGTGGTGTATACTTCGACGATTCGCGTACGCAAGAAGCAAGAAAAGACAGTACTGCTTACTTTGCTGGCATGTGGCTGTTTTGTTGTGCATGAAGAGCTGAAAAACCACCGACGCCAGCAGCGTTGGTGGGTTCGTTTTGCTCTGCAAGAGCGCAACAAGCTCGGTCACGCCAACAGCAAGCTCGGTCACCTCTTCCAAGAAATACGGACGCGAAGTAGGCACAGAGTAGGTTAAACTTCCGTGGGTTTCAACATTCAGTTACGTGCACTGCGGCATAACAAGTTAGCCGCCATTTTTCGAAATTCCTTGACTAGCGCTCCTATTGGTCCGCGGTGACTGATTCGGCGGCAGACGCCGGAAAAATCGATCCGAGAGCGATCAGCGCGGAGAGGGCCTTTTCAGCGGATCTCGCCGCCGCCGAACCCGATTCGGAGCACTTTCGGCGGCCGGAACGCTCAGTGTGAACGCGGCCTAAATCTGGAAGCGCCAATTTCGTGGTACGCACTTTTTTTTTCACTTTAACATTTCACAGTTATTCAGAAGAATGCTGTATCTTGCATTATGTCGAGTTATATAAACAGGAATCAAATTTGTGCCCACAGCGTCGCTTCACGTCCTGTGTTTGTTGCCTGTAGGCAACATCAGGCACTACGCTGTGTTTCTCATTTCGCTCAGTAAATCATGTGGTGGCTTTGCTGAGAGCAGGTATCGTGCAGGAATCAAGGACCTGTCACTACTCACTAATTATGGACCCAGGCGTATTTTACGGAAAAAAAGGCACAAAGGGGCCTCCCGAATGCAGCAATGACTCGGACCTCAAATCGAGTGACGACGAACCGGAAAATAGTGGTTCAGCCCGGGCATGTAAGTACTTTTTATTGAAACAGCCAGAAGTATTCAGGCATTCAAGATTCAAATGCTGTTCTGTCTCGAGAAAGAATGCGATAGGAAAAGGGGGACTTCGCATGCTTGGTTAGTAATGCGTTTTTGCACCTTTGGACGTGAAGATATCCCGTATAACCCTGATTGTGCATTGGTCATACCAGTCTTACCCTTCTGATTGTATCGGCGTCCTTGTGAAGCCGTGAACGCTACTCACGAAAAACGCCGTTACGTATACGTTAGACGCCCACAAGCGTCGCTCTGTTTACGCTGCCCATGAAAAGTTTGCATCGGACCTTAGAGACGCTCTCTTTTCTAGCTTTTAAAGTAAACTGACTTCTTTTATTTTGTGCTCTCAGTGAATGCGAATCCATATAAATAATTCAAGAAGCATCGTATAATTTTGTTTGCTTTTCTTGGCTCTAGTTTCATGTCGTATCCAGTTTCCGTTGATTTTTTGCAGGTGTCTCAGAAAATTGCCAAGGTGAGACATCTAACACACCAAGCAGAGATGATAATGATGAACTTGAAAGGATTACGAAGCCTTCGAAAAATCATCCTGCATGGAGCGCTGTGCAAGACCCGATTGGTCGTGCCATGCCAGAGTGGAAGGATGTGCCTCCATGTCCATCACCGGTCGAGTCCCCCATCAAATATTTTGGAAGATTTTTCGACATGGACTCCTTCTCTTTCATCTGTGAGCAGTCGTCACTCTACAGTGCTCAGAGGAACCCCAACAAAGTCGCATCTATGACAGTCAATGATTTGGAACAGTTTATGGGTATAGTGCTCACCTATGTCTATTATGAAACTGCCTCAAACACGCATGTACTGGCCCGAAAAATTTTGTATTGATCAAGTTGCCGACACCATGACCAGGGACAGATGGGAGGAATTGAAACAGTCCCTTCATTTCAACGACAACCGGGAGGCACCAGACAAAGCTAGATGACCCAGAGCGTCGTAGGCTGTACAAAATACGGCCCCTACGAGATCACCTGGTCGCAAAATGCCGCGAACTACCGAAATCACAAAAAATGAGTGTCGATGAGCAGCTAGTCCCCTTCAAAGGCCTCAGCTCACTGAAGCAATACTTGTCAAACAAACCCAAAAAGTGGGGTTACAAACTCTTCCTTCTCTGTGACGAATGTGGACACGTGTATAACTTTGAGGTATACATGGGCAAGATTCTTCCGTAACCAGGTTTTCTTGACATTGGCGCCAGTGGCAATATCGTTCTCCGAATGGGAAGTGTCGCACCTCGTGACCCCAACTACAGTCTGTACTTTGACAACTGGTTTTGTAGTGTGGACTTGCAGGTGGTACTGAAAAAAGTTGGCATAAATTCTGTCGGCACAGTTCGGGAGGCTCGTTTGAAAGGATGCAAACTTCCATCTGACAAAGAACTGAAGGACAAAGGCCGTGGCCCTTATCTTGCGATGGCAACGACATTTGAAGGAGTGAACTTGAGGGCTGTCAAGTGGTTCGACAACAGTCACGTGTCCGTGCTGTCCTCATTTGCTTCTGCACCGCCGGAACAACTCGTCAAGCGCTTCGACAAAAAGACACCGACAACAGTGAACGTGTCTCGTCCTGCCATTGGAGCAGTCTACAATGAATCCATGGGTGGCGTGTACCTCATGGACATGCTCGTGGCCCTTTACCGCATCTAACTACGTAAAAAAAAATGGTACAGGAGGATATTTTTTTATCCATTGGATGTAGCAATTGTAAATTGCTGGCTGCTGTACTGCCGAGATGCCAACGCCGCTGAAAATCCACGCAAAGAGCAAGTGACCCTTCTCTCCTTCAAAGCGGATATTGTGTGTGTTCCGAGGCAATAATGTAAGGTTAAGACACCCTTGAGGAGGCGACTTTTTGCCCCATCAAGAGTGGAAAATGAACTGCAAACAAAAAACATGGCGTGGACCAGCAGCTCTTGTTCCATGCAAAGAGACCAGGCTGGACACGGTCGATCACCTTCCAACGTTCTCCATAAACAAAAAAGGCCGCTGCAAATACCCGAAATGCGCGGGTATTACCAGAGTAATGTGCAGAAAGTGCAATGTACATCTTTTTTTCACGCCAGGAAAGGAGTGCCTTCAAAAATTTCACACTGACCCGTAGGGGTCATGCAATGAAGCCTCATTTCCGCCTCATGCCTAGTGTTGCCCACAGGAAACAAAGCTGTATCTAGAAAAGCAAACATAGTATTTTTTTTTCGTTACAAGTGTGCATTGTAGTACTACATTAATCACCAGTATATAAGAAATAAATGTTTTTTTGAAAGATTTAATGTCTCGTCAATAAAGTGTTAGCAACAGCAATGCCCTACTTACCGAGAAATCAAGGTAAAATGCACAAGAATACATGCGCCGCAGTAGGGCATTGTCAAAATGATCCTGATGACGTCAGGCAAACTGTCTACACTTAATCACTAGTAATTGAACTAGCTGCACAAAATAAACCTTCAATGCATCAAGAGATGCAATAAAACGCTTCTTGTTCGTTTGTTTGATTCATATAAAGAACCGCCGGACGTTACAATGGGGAATAGCGCGAGTGGTTCAAAAATTCAAGTTTCGCGTGGTTAAACTGGACAGGTCTTGCCATCTAGCGGGATCCAGCTCAACTAAAACACGTGTGCCATTTCGGCACCAATGGCAGGAAATTGATGAATGCCGTTGTTGCTGCGGCTCCCGCTGCTGTCGTTTTGCTGCTGCTAGTGTCGGCGGCCGCGCAGTAAAGCGGGGCTACGGTGCGCACGGCAACAGTGACGAGAGACGTTCCACTTCGTGAGGCGGGTAATTTGAAATGCGCTAACCCGATGCAGACCACTAA